TCCAAATCTAACATTGGTATCCGCATGTTACTCGAAGTAACAAGTGTATACAATGAGCGATCGAAGCCTGAAGCTCTAGTATCCGCTGGCTCTCTAGCGATGGGTCGCGAACCTTGCAAGTCCTACCCGGGATGGGGTATTGTTACGCCTGCACTAGGCAATGCTTCCGCTAAGCACGTATACGACGAGCGAGAGGGCAAGACGGGATGGATCGTTGGACGCATCAGCCAAGAGCATGGTATCTTGACATGGGAGGGCGATAGGAGCGAATGCAACGAGTTGACGATCGGGGATAAGGTTATGGTCTGGCCAAACCATGCTTGTGTGGCTGGCGCTGGGTTCGGGTGGTATCTTGTGGTTGACTCGGACGCGGGTGGAGATACGGTCGTGGATGTCTGGGCCCGATGGAGGGGCTGGTAATCCGATATAGAAGTAGGTTGAGGCGTTGTGATCGCTCGGTGTTACTCGGCTTCCGATGCTATAACCCATGTCAATGTAGTTGTAAGAGAACCCCGTTCACACACCCAAAGAGATGTTGGGTGATGGGACTTGTATGCTCTCGTATTGTCTGACCTCAACTGGCGTCGTCTCGACTTTGCGCTGCTAGTATCGCGCGTGGATGGCAACAACTCCAAAAGCAACGAGTCTGGCGTCTTCAATTGCCCAATCTGCGTGTGTAGTTTGATGGCTTTGACTTTGCTCACACTCCGAGTTGACATTTCTGCAGGCTTGTACGACTCGCGCAGCATCTGGTCCTGGCGCTGTCGGCATGAAAAGCCGCTGACAACTTCCGCCAGTATTGTCCTGCCCATCGCGTATGTCTGCGCGGATCGTTCTGCAGTCTTCAAAACCATCTGATCCGATCCAGGACGAGTCGCATTTCGCGGCGTATAATGTCCGGCACAGCTACATCTCGTTCGTCGGGTTCGGGTTGCGGCGACGGGATGGGAGGACACGAGTTGCGTGGTTTGCTACTGTAGCGTTGCAAGAGGGTAGTTCGCGCCGTTGTTTCTTGTAACGTTGGTCTGCATCTTGATCAAACTTTCTATTGTTGGTGGCTGCCAGCCGCTCTCTAGCCCAGCGCCAGAGGCATGTTGCACGGGTTGGTAGATGGAAGAAGTGATGGTCGCTGGGTGAAGCTTGCCGATCGCGTGCCCGGTGATTGGATGCTCGTGACCCGTAATATGCTTGCCAGGCACAAGCACAAGTTTGTAATTATGCGCGTGCATCCCAAAGCTTGGGATCCATAGCTTCCCGCGGAGATCGGCCAGGAACCGTGGCGCTTGGTAAACTCACGTTGGAGCCCATTCATGACGTCTGCTATGCGTTGCGCCATTTGGCAGCTAAAACATCAATCGGGATATGATAGGCCTCGGCACTTGACCTGACCGAGTTGGAAAACGGCGACATGGCGGGATCGTCGCTCAGGGCAGCCATAGGAGTGCTTGGGGGCGTTCCTGGGTGTGTTGCTGGCGGCTGCAATGCGTCTTCTAGCGCACACAGTGAGGATGCCACGGCCAAAATGCCAAACCGCCAAATCACCTGCTCGACACGTTGCAGCCAGCTAAAGGCCGCGGGCGGTCTAGAAAACGGATATCTGTAGTAAAGGGCGCCGCTGGGGATAGGCACTGCCAAAGTTTATTCTTGTTTGAGGCTTGCCCGTCTGCTCCTAGTCGTGAAGGCTGTATGGCGGAGAGTAGCCATGGCTTCCCCGCCCTGCCTCTGGATACCAACCGTCTCGGGCACTAAGGCATCCGCCAGCCTGCTTGCGGGCAAGCCTCCTGCACTACCTGCAGACCTCCTGGCGACCAGAAACCCCCCGTCTCTGTGCCAGATCCCAGGCTGATCTGTGACCTGTGACCTGATGACTGACGAACCGAAGGGGTCCTTGAACCTTGGGACCGTGTCCAGTCTTCCTTCCGCCATCTCCGGCACCTTCAACATTTCCATCCCCTGCGGCGTAGACTCTGCACACACAATGCCATCCTGCACCATGCGTCTTTAAGAAGGCCCGACGACGATACACCCTCCAGCGCCCCGGCCTCGACAACCCAGTGTTTCGTGCTTATGCACAGCCCATATCCTTGAACTGCGAGTTTGGGCTTGCATTGGCTTTGGCTTCTGTAGCACCATAATCCGAGCTGGAGTAGCATCCACTCGCTACTCGCCATGGTTCCTTTTCGACGCTTATCGCAGAGGGGCCGTCGCAGCTTCGACAACCGCGACTCCTACGAATGGCAAGACGAGCGAGACAAACGCATCATGACGGCCACCTTCCCCATACACCCTCTCTCCTCTATGCAGGCGCCCTTTGAGGAGTCGATGCTCGACGCCACTGGCGAAACGGGGCACGTTCCCTTCGCCATTCCCAAGAAGAGCGTTAAGACGCGACAGCAAATGCTGTGCAGAGAGGAGAATGCCTCTGAGCCCTCGTGGAACTTCACATACAACTGCCACTGGAGGAGCAACGCAAAGGGCAAATTTCATCCTCTAACAAAGACGGTCGCGCAGATCATCTTTGGTGTCCACCTGCTGCATCAGCATCTGGAAAAGTCCGTCGCCGATGTCGCCGACATATTGCTCAAGCATGTCAATGAGCTCGACAGTTTCCTGCAGCGGGCGAATGAAGACCTCGAAAGCAGCATGAAGGACATGCTGTTCCGGCATAAATGTCTAAAGGTGCCCATGGAACACGTAAACGAATTCGATCGTCTCCTCGAAGACCGCTCATACCGCGCCCAACTGCTCGACGGCAACATCGTGATCGAACGCACCATTGGGCGCATGTCGCAACTGCTCAACGACTACCTGATCGACATCAACGTATTTCGCGAAGCCAACCAGGAGCTCGATCTATACCTAGGCGATGTGGGAGACGAATGGACATACCGCAATGAGGATATTGGGCGCATATATTCAGCCATGTGTGGTAACACCGGAGGCTGGTCGCAATTCTTGCAAAGCCTCGTAGCAAAGGCTGAAAGGCTGGGCGTTGTGCTCGTACAGGTCAGCAGCTATTGCAATGAGATCGAGAAGCGGTGTGGCGCTGCAAGTCGCCGAAGTTTGGTATGTTCGCTGCCAGAATCCGCTTCGAACCCGCTTCGTGGGCTATGTTCTCAGCTGGAGCTTCGCTAATAGCCCTAGATTGCGACACGCACATCTTCACGAAATTCGTCCAATTCGCGCGAGGCACGCCCATTTCGAAACTTTGCCAACAACAAACCTCTTCCAACCCCCCCACCCGAACGTCCGCCATTCATGAGCGCATCATCATCCGGTAGGGAGACGCCTGCCAGCTTTGGCACACCCCAGCGACATTCGACTTTACGAGCGAGGCCGCAGCAGCAACAGCATCAACAACAGCAGCAGCAGCCCGAGATCACAAACGCATCCGATTCCACCACAGAGACGCCCAAACGGAGCGAAGACTCGTCTTCTGCGTCTGCCGTTTCCAACACAGACGTCGATGTACGACGTCAGGCAAATCAGTCCGGGTACTACCGTGAGGCCTGGCGCAACGACGAGCAACGTGACGGAGCGACACCGCATGCAGAGTCTAGTCGTGCAACACATGTTCCGGGGCACCAGCATAAAGTGTCTTCGCCATCTAACCTATCTGCAGAGGAAAGCGCATCAGCAACGAGACGCATGTCGGCGAAACCACAAAACGGAGAATACAGTCCGCCTTTGACCGGCAAAGATTCGGCATATTGTTCTGTGTCGGGCGCCTCAGCCGTGTCACCGGGCTACGCATCGCCACGCTCCGTGTCCTCCATGTCCTCGCGACAAACCGCCCAATTTGGTCTTTTCCCTAGTCGAAACTTGAGTACGCCGAAAGGTTCCATGTCGAGTCGACTAGGTGCCAGCTCTCCTACGTTCAATCGTCCTGAGCAAACCCCTAAGGCTGCGGACATGCCAAGCCGACCACCAACCTCTTTGTCCACGTTCTCAGATGCTTCGAACAAGCGACTTTCCAAACGAAGTAGCTTCTCATCTCTCAAACGGCTATTCACCAAGAAGAAATCTGGCGATATAGGTCCTATCGCCGAGTGATACCCTCTAGTTTGATCTTTGTTATCCCTTGTCCCGTCCTTGGTCCTCTTGTCTGGCGTTGCAAGGCTATATACCCCTTTGACTTTGCGTTTCTGTGTATTACGCAATCCAAATCTCATAGTCTTTGCCGTGGTTCTGCCCAGCGTTCTCGATGGCTTCCTGGGGCTTTCGCATGTATATATTTTCGCCCTGGTAGATGTAACGCGGTAACGAGCAACGTGTAATGTCTTTAACTTCGTGTGCGGACGTCATCGCGGCAGAAGGCGCCGTCGTGCGGAGGACGTCGGTGATGCGGTGGTCTGGTGTGCTTGCTGGGAGCAGTTTCGGAATGGGTTGCTGTTGGATGCTGCGCTATCCTGCGCATGGTGGGCAGCTGGGGTGCGAGAAGGAGAAGCGAAGAGCTGCTGGCTGCCGGTTTGGCGCCACGGGTGGTAGGCCCGCCGTAGGGGTAGGTATGGGAAAGCTGTACGCACAAGTAGGTAGGGGCCATTCTCATATGCATCTCTGCTACTGACCCTTTCTGTATCGTCTCTGTATTCCTTCTGTGTCTGATGTTTCTGCCTTCCTGTGCGAGATGCTGGCGGGGTAGGGGTAGCCTCTGCCGTAATGGACGTGAAGGAGGCGCGAGTCTCGCTATCAAAACAACGTCTCCGCCGAGCTCCCTCCGTCTCCTCTACCTTGCCCCCACCCACGACACCACCACACTCAACAGCACTCTCCATTTGGCGGAGATGTTGGCGAGGGTTGTGTAAAGGTCACCCGCTTTCGTCTCTTTGGATACTCGCCGCCTTGTGCAGTATCGCTTCTTCTTTTTGGTTATACCAATAACTCCCACATCTTTTGGCAGCGCCGCAATCAGGAGAGCCACCACCGCAGCAGCTTCGCTCACGCCCTGCATACAACCTTTGCTTGCTCTCCTCGCAGCGACTTTCGCAGCTGACAGCAGTATGCCGCTCTCTGATCAGGATCCCAACGGCGGCGGCCGCAACTCGCGAGCCTCCAACGTCTCTGCCATGAGCCGAGCATCAGGTAAACCCGTATCGCGGGCACCCAGTGCAGACCTTCAACCTCTTAACCGCGGCGTCACGTCCATGCTCCGCACCGAGACCGAGATAGGCGACGTTAGCATCGGCCGTCCTAAGTTCGACGACTTGTCTGCCATGAGCAACGCACCACGTCCGCTGCGTTCGCGCGCGACCAGCAGGATGTCGCAAGTTTCTTCCACGTCCAACACTTCCAGTCGGGGTAGCAAGCAGCACTTCCGTTCTTACCCCTCCTCCTCTTCTGCACCGCGTCAGCCAATGCAACACCATGGGCCCGTGTATACTGCCGACACGCTGTCTCCAACGATGATGAACGCCACCGGATCATCGCCTTTCAACAACCGAAGAGACAACCGCGACAGGGACGCGCATCGCTCGCACTCGATGACGAATACCATACAGCCCCCAGCGTACGGCCTCTCCAGCAACAGGTCTATTCCCAGCTTGCGCCCTCGGCCAGCGTCCCGATCTTCGAACCCAAGCCCATACTATGCACACCCCGCCGGGGGTGGTTTCAGGCAGCCTGTTCCATACTCGCGATCGGTCCAGTCCGCCCTGAGCGACGACAGCGGAGTACACTTCCAAGGGCCGCGGACCTACGACGGTCAGCGACTGCCCTATGCTGGCCAGGTACAAGGCTACGGCAACCCAGGATACACAAATCATACGTATCGGCAGCAGCATGCTGGACAAGGACAAGATCAACGAGGCTTCCACAACGGACAGGGCCCCGGGCAGATGAGGACCAAGAATCCATCCTCTCGGTCTACGATGAGCCTTGAAGATCCTCCCGTGGAAGACGACGACTTTCCTCTCTACCACGCGGCTACCAGACAACTCATGTCTCGCAGGATGACAGGCAACTCCGCCCGCGAGCCTCGTTCAGAAGATCGAAGAGAGCACAGGCGTCCGGATGAATACCAGCCACCTTTACCAGCCGACCACCGCCAACGGATCGCTGCTGAACAAGCTCGTCTCAAGAGGTCTGCGCCTGCTTCCATGTCCAGTTTTAACACAAACTTGCGTACTGAATCAGACCCGCCGTCGTCTGACATGGCTATGCCATCAACTCCGAAAGATGGTAGCTCCATGGAAGTGCACCGAAACCTCGATAGAAACAAGGTCTTCAAAGCCGCCAACCCGAACCGCCTTGTTATTCAGGAAGAGTATCCTCCAGTACCATACTACAACACGAGTGACCAGCTCGGACCTGTGGCGTCTGCGGACCCAGGGACGAATGCTGATCCCGACGGCTTCATAGACCGAAAGATAATCATTGTCGAACAGTTTCGTCCGGCTGGGGCGGCATTGAAGAGTGATCCTTTTTTAGGACAAGAGGCACGACCAATGTCGATGGAGGTCGTGTCTCCCCACCTAGACAACATCGCATCCAATACCGTGAGAAATTGCGAGAAGACCTCAAGCTCGATCTCGAGCGCGAACGCGAGGCCGAGCGCAAAGCCCAGAAGCATTCGCGAAAGCGACATTGCGGAACTCCCAGCGTCCCCCGTAGCTCACCGCATCACAAGGAATTTGATCCTAAGAGGTCTGGAGGCTTCAACGACGGGCGATATCCAGTCTTCGATGGAGTTAGTAACCTCTTCGGGGCCATCTCCCTCGCTCCCGAGCAAGCCTCCATCTCCGTCAAGAAAGCCCCCCGTTCCAAGGTCTCCGACACAACTCTCAAGGCCAAAGTCTCCAACACTACAATCAAGGCCAAAGTCTCCGATACCACTATCAAGGCCAAAGTCCCCGACACCGCAATCACTGACGACGTCTCCGACACCGCAGTCGTTGACAAAGTCGCTGACAACACGGTCGCTGACACCAAGGTCGCTGACTCCGGGGCCTCTGCCGCTGTCGAAGACCAATGAGGTCACCCATTCTTGTGATATACCTGTTAAGGAGTACTTTGTATCTGATATACCTCGTGGGGCCGTATTGCATTCGGCGGACCGCGGAGAAAACCGACACAGTATCTTATCGCAGACTGGATCCAGCATCCTCGACTCGTCCACTCTTGAATTCGCGGTCCAGCATTCCATACCAACGGCCAATAGCGGTGGCTTCCAGAACGAGCCCGGTGTTAGGATTCATGCTACCACGAACATGTCTCTCAGTCCTGGCAATAGTACCGGGGATGGTATGTCGGATGTTCTTGCAGGGTATCAGGGATCTGATTATAAGAACGAGACCGACGCTTTGGTGCGAATCGAGACGGCCAACGAGAGCAATTATGAGGAGCACACGGATGCTTCAACAGAACATGACATGAAGCCGCTGCCTCTTGCCCTTCGATCCAGAAGTAGCCATGCACAAGGGTCGTCCGATGAGCTGTCCTTCAAGTCTTGTACCGATCTGCCGGATGTCTCTTCAGAATCGATACCATCCGAGCCAGGGAAAGAAGACATCAAAGCGTCTTCCATATGCGCCATTGACTTTGCGCCGCAGCGAGATGCGGTAACGAAGGAAGCAGACACTCACTCTTTTGCGACTGGTGTGCACCCTTTCCGTGCTAGTTTCGCACCTCCGCCTCGACTCCAAACGTCCAACCTAGGAACGGTGATCTTGAATCAGGGCAGGACGATTGTGGAGGCACCCTTGTCCAAGCCCCCTTCTGCTATGCTTCGCAAACAGCCTCCTATACCGCGTCGAGAATCCAGCTTTTCTATCGTAGCGAGCAAATTGCGGACTAGCTCCAAGCAGAGCATGAAGCAAGGCTCGATATCGGTATCTGGCTCGTCATCCACGCTGGGCACTACGCACCAGGGGCCAGCGGTACCGCCCCGAGAGTCAAGCACTTCCAAGGAGGCCCAACGTGTGCACGCCGCAGTCTCGTTTTTGATGCGTCCACTACCGTTGCGCTTTGCCAGGTCTCGGAAGTATACTGACCAAGAGGAGCTACCGAAGTCAGATGAGACGGTCCCATCTGCTTCCAGTTCGAGTCAAGACACGGACGGCGTTATCAGTCTCAATGAGATGACCAGCTCACCGCCGCCCGCCATGGAGGTAAAGAAGACGCCGCAAGCACCGTCGACCAGGCCAAAAGGTGTACCTGTTGCGAAGACGCGAGCTATCAGCTTCGACACTCCGAAAGCTTGCAACCCATCCAAGATGCCCGGTAGTAGCCCGGCTCCTGTTGCGCAACCAATCGACAGCCCGGTTCCTGCGATTTTGGAGCCCTCCTCTGTGTACTCGATCCATGACACCTCCTCAGGCTCATGTGTAGACTCCGCGGATGGACTTCCGGTAGCCCAAGAGCCTGGCCATCGTGACAGCCAGACTACGACACACCTCGATTGGAATGGATATAGGCCTTCCTCCCACGGTGGTGGCCTCCAGCAGGTGTCGCTACGCCCTCTGAGCGGTGTTGGAAATCTATTGAATTCTTTGGGATCGGGTCCTTTGTCCAACATCCAAGAGAATACTACGACCGACCTCAGATTATCCGGATATAGGTATCCTGGCCCTACGCGTTATCTGCCTGACCTGAAGGAGGAGTCGCATGAAGACTCGAGCCTCAACACGAGTGCCAGCAACCTGAAGAGCTCGAGTTACCGCTTTCCGTTCGGCGCGCCGTCGGGGGTCAGGGCTTCGGGAGAGGAACCGATCAACTTCTCGGGAAGGTCGTCTATAGCGTCGCATCGTCGGAGTGCTGTTGGTAGCAACGTGGGCAGCGCGCTCGGACAGGCACACGGTTTGCCTTCGATGCGGTTTAGTCGGATGAATCTGTTCGATGGTTTGACCGAGGACCTTGGCCTTCGCTACTCAAGGTCAATGGAAGAGGTGCCCAATGCGTCGCAGAGGGTGAGCAGAGGTAGTCCGCGGCCTGCATCAGCGGGTGATGTCACGGACCTGCGCCTTTCTCTCGCCGAATTGAATGAAGCGGAGCGCTCGGGGTTGTCAATGCAGCCTACCGCCATGATCAACTTGTTCGCGATGCACCGTGCTCGTTCACCGGAGCTCATGGCAGAGATTGAGCGGCTGACCATACCTTCTGTCGGGGGGCTTACCCAGCGCCTCTCAGAGATCTTCCCGTCGTTGAGGGAATACTACAAGTGCGGTGAGCCAGCCGAGTTTCCGATTGAGGAGGAGATGGAGAAGCACGCATTGGAGGAGATCCACGAGATCCATCCGACGCAGAAGCGCTCGTCTGCTCGACTTCGCCCCATGCGTGGCGTCTCGCACATGGTTGTTATCGAAGACGATCTGTATGACGAGATCACAAGCAAAGAGAGGGGATGTGGCAGTCCAGGCAGTCCAGGCCGTCCTGACGATGGAGTCGGTGTAAACGGCGCTAGCGAGGCAGACTCAAATACAGGCAGGCCCCCCAAGGACGACGACGCACCGAGCACACCAACATACGACAAGACGACTCCGCTCCCAGAGCTGCGAGTCCCATCACCAGCTGTTCTCCGTCCGCGCTCTCACACCGTCGGCCCTCAAGAGCTTCGCATCTCAGGGGAGTCCGCTCTTTCCGTAAGAAGGTCTCTGAGGTCGTTTGTTTCTACGCCCACAGTAACCGAGACGCGTCCCTGGAATTCAGACAAGAATTATCCCTGGGCGACGTCAAAAAACCCCGCTATTGACATCTCCCTTCCTCGTCCAGCTGCTGCGAGACACTCTCCTCACCCAGGCCCTTCCCACCTCCGCAACAGACTCTCTGACGCGTCTACCACAAGCTCCTTCTCGACAGCGCAGACAGCCACAGCTTCCCCGTTCGGATCACCGGCCGATAGCACCGCACACGCGCGTCATCACCGCTTCAGCACCTTTGGCCGCAACAGCGACCAGCCACACGCAGTCGGTGAACGCTACCCCACCTCTGCCCTGTCACCTCCTACAGCTATCTTCCGCGACCACCTGTCAGCCTCTGACACTTCTGACGACGAGCACTACGACACCACACGCAAGACTAGGCTCTCGCTCCGTAAGCGCTTTTCGTCAACTCGCAAAGCTACGCTTGACAGCCAATCAAACACTCGAGCTGGTCGAAGCAAGACCAACGCACAAGACCTCGCCTCGCCCGAGTCGACCAAGCAGTCAACAACCTCACTCCTCCAAGATCGTGCCGGTGAAGCTCAAGCTTTCACGTCATCCACCACCGCCAACCGCCATACCTTCCGTGACGCGGAGGGCATGAGAGCAGTTGACTACCGCAAACACCGCATCATCGACCGCCTCAAGACCTGGTGGCACAAGGGCTCGCACCTGATCCGTCAACTTTCAAACCGAAAACACTAAACTAGCACAAGTCTCTCGACTGTCTAGCCATCATGTCTGACACCCCTCCTCAACCCCTCTTCGCCCTCGGACCGAACAACACTATCCGCTATATCGAGCGTCGCGTGTTCCCCTCGGTCCCTCCTGCAAACCCCCCTACCTCACCCCCTGCCCCCACCAACACGCCTGTCAACACCAACGGCAATGGCAACACCAACGGCAACGGCAATGGCACCGGTTAAGAGGTTTTGGTAGTTCTCCATGGTTTCTCTTCACTTTTCACTCTTTTCATGATGCATGTACTATAATATGGGAAGGATTCACGGAGATATGACAAACTGTCATCAAAGTTCATAGCTAGCTAAGTAGCACACGATAGTAAAACTGGTTCTATAATTATTAAGTACTTATGATATGTGATGTCTGTGAGGTCTTGGTAGTCACCTGGACACCTCAACGTCTTGATGTCTGTATATGGTGATGATGCTGAAGTCTGCAAACCTGTTTTTATCGTCGAGACTTACTGTTGTATAACGATGCGACATCTTCCTGGCTCTACTATGACACTTGTGATATGCAGGTACGCAAGGTGATGTGGGCCTTAGGGTCTCTCATGCCGCCGTGATAAGCCAACACTCAAGGCGTTGAAGTTTGACAGGCTACCATTTGAAATTTTTCCTGAACATCGAGAGTGCGCTGTGGTCTGCAAGGTGAAGTTGCCGTAAGAAGATGAGGACAGACGTGCGCAGCGGGATGACGACAGGTCCGTGGATAATGAGGACTTATGTGCCACCCACCGTAATGTCATAGTCCTTCGACGCATCATCACTGGCATAAGAGTCATCGGGAAAGAGTATAAAAGAAGCCGATCTGCTGCTCTTTTCAGCTTCTTCCTTTACCACCCTCGGAAAGACAAAAGCGACAAGTCAATCTCTTCCCAATCCCTTAGTAAAACCTACTACATCGAAGTCATGGCATCAAGCTTAACCTTCAAAGCCGAATCTCACAAGGCGCAATGCGTCGAAATAATGGCAGATGACAACTTCAACGGCAACTTCCCGGAAGACGCCTCGGAAGCATGGGTCCCTAAGCAACCGAATGTCATACTGCAGCTTGCCACTCCACACTCAGACAAACGCAACGTGTGTCTCATAGCGGCTCACTATCCCCACCCCGACGACCCAGACCAAGAGGGCCGCACCGGGATATCCTATGATCTGCGCGCGCACAACAACCTCAATAAGCTGAGGGAATTGGCTAGCAACAAAGGTGTCTTTCAGGGAGTCGAGGACTGTGTGCACGACAACGGTGCAAGAGTTGTCATGTGGTTCGCAATACGTAAGTATCCCTCAGTACTTCCTGCAATTCTAAACTCGCATTTCTGACTTTGCGACAATAGTCACAAGTGGCAAAGCTGATGTCACCAACGAGGATACGATGATTCCTCTATCGGTTATTTGGGCTTGGGATAAGGCTGATAAGAAGTATGAGCCTACGTCCCTGGAACAAGCAGGTTAGGCTCTTGTTGCGAGACGAGCATGTGACTGACAAGGTTGTTGGTCGGGAATGCTCTTGAGACTTTGAGACAGCGGTTGGAGACACACTCATTTGTAGATAGTACACTTAAAATGCATTCAAAGATATACAGGAAAGAAGTCTTGAGTACTTCCTGAAAATGATGCGAGACCCGGGGCACATGGACGCCTTTTCAACAACTCATCACCTCGTTTACTTATTCACGATGACTGATTCATGATCGCTGAATACTAGCATCGGAGCGTTTGGCGGTGTGAGAAGCTACTGTCCGGAAGATGGCAGGTGCATATGGACTGGTGACACCTGCAAGTGCGACACGAATGCACCTGGAAAAGGCTTCATTACGGCTGGCGCTTCCCTGGAATGGAAGAGAATTGCACAGACTACACGAACTAAGTAGAATGTTTGCCTACCTAGTCATGGGTCCATCTCACGCCGTGCTATCATGGACTTATAGTCAACTATATATCCCGCACTTGTCGTTTCCCAGTTCTTACGTGTCTACCCAAGTTCAAAATGTCCGTGAACGACCATAACCTAAAAGAATCGTGTCAAAGTCTTATGCGCGACTGGGACATATGGTTTTACGAAGGTTGCGATCCAGCTTTTGTAGAAGCCAGACCCACCTATCTCGCATCCTCGGAAGATCGTCAGGTCACCTTGCTAGCCATGTATAAGCCTGACGACACTTTTCAAGGCGACGGAGTACATGTAAACATGAGAAGTCCGAAGCTGAAGGACGCTTTAGATGACCTGGCAAGAGAGCATGGTTTAGTAGGTTGTATAAGACATCCACGGCACCAAATCGCGTTTTGGTTTAGCAGATGTGAGTCTAATATGTGCCATTTGAGCGCGAATGACCCAAGCAGAGCTCTAATCTATTGTTATCCATAGTGGCAGACTTTGAAGCGGGCGATAGGATGGGATGGGACGACTTACCACTCGGCGTTATTCTTCTTGATGGTCTAATTCTACTCGGCCCTCCTGAGAGTGCTGGCTTGTGAAAGGCGCAGATGAAGGTTAGGATATCGTGGGATATCGTGGTTGAGCTAAAGAGTGGCAGGTACACGTTTTATACGTAAATGGTTTGTGGAACATGCAGACGATAAGACTTCTATTCGAGAAGAGTGCAAATCTTGTCGGTGGGCCTTTGTCAGTGGGCACATATTGGTCGACCATACAAGCATCTTCTAGCTCTCTGGCTCATGTCTTCTTTGTTTTGTGGACTGCATATTGTGACGGCTGTCGTTGATAGCCCATAGAAGCCTCTCACGGTCAAAGTACATCCCAATGCAGTACGCAGTCATGTCTGAATCATTTCATTTCGTGTATGCCCAGCTTCGAGAGCTGTTTCATAGCCACACGTCTGTTCAGACCGTTGACACTCCTTTATAATCCTTGTGTGGACCAAGCCCTTATGCGGCGATGGTAACCTCAACCTCGACACCGGCCTCGATGTTGATGATGATCTGCTTGACAACCTCGGTGGGAGCGTGGAGGTCGATGAGGCCTAAGTCCGCAGTTAGCTGCTGTCCGCCGACTGTCTGGAGTGGTATGCACTTACGCTTGTGGATGCGCATCTCGTAGGTGTCCCAGGTCTTGGAACCCTCACCGCAAGGAGTCTTACGGGTGGTGATCTTCAAGTGCTTGGTGGGCAGACGGACGGGGCCCTTGACGCGGAGCTCCTTGTTCTTGGCACGGTCGATGAGCTCCTGGCAGACCTTCTCGAGGCTCTTGACGTTGCGGGAGGTGAGGGTGATGCGGATCTGGGAGCGCAGTCAGTATACAGCCTCGCGCGCATAGAATACACTGCGACGTACCTTGTGGATCTTGGGGCCCTCGCCGAAGTCCTTCTCGCCCTTGTTGTAAGACATCTTGTCGGATTGGAGTGTGGTGTTGTTGTAGGTTCTGATTTAGATTCCAGTCACGACCTGGATCCTTGATCGCGGTAATGTGATGACTGGGGTGGCGTTAGAATTTGCGACGGCGTTCGGAGTCGTTAAGTTCTTTGCGATGCGCATTTTCGATCTGTGGGCGATGCGCGCCAAGATTGCGGAGGCTAGTGCCGTAACAGGTATCGCTCCCTTTTGATCGCTCGGCAGGCGGGCCCATGAGCCATCATGACTGCATGACTGCAGACAAACAACAGAAATTGAACCTTTTAAAGACTTTTCGCGTTCCTTGCACAGTGCACCGTATCTCTGAGCTCGGCCCTGGATTTCGTCTTACAATATCGCCAACAGAGATGTCGCTACCCCACTTCGCGCCATTCCCAGACGCAAAAGTCAGAAAGAGCATACTGCCCGACGAATGGCAGTTGTACCTGGATTCGTGGGTTTCGCTAGCTGAGCTCTATCTGAGATTAGAGGACCAAAATTTCTCGGAGGCGATCAAAGAGGAGAGCTCTCTCACGCAATTTCTGCTGTCTTTCTTTCATGAACTGGCCCTGGACGATGAGCTAGCAGCTAAAATTGCGTCATTACGGAAGAAGACTTTCTTTTTATTACACAGAATCCTTTCCAAAGAAGACATACCCAATCCTTTGCTCAGCTGGTCCACCCTATCTGACATCTGCCATGCGTACCCCAAGAGCGAGCAGTTCCGTACGCTCTTGCAAGGGTGCTGGAAGCGAAAGAATGCAGCAATTGAGAAGTCGTTGCAGACAGCGAAAACGTCCCTAATCAAGAACTTGGAATCAAAGCGACCGGAAGAGGCCGAAAAGACCCTTGATCGGATCGCACCTCTTCTCAGAGCCTCGTCAAATGCCAGCATCTTCATGCTGACAGGGTCCGACTTCCTCGACTCTCTCCTTTCCGCATACCCACAAGTTCCGCAATCGATGCAGAAGAAGCTAGTTACGACTTCATACCTTGGTTTAACAGCCGCGCTAGAAGGTCCAAAACCGAATTATTCGCTGCTCTCTGATCATTTGTACAGCCTGAAGTCTAATGAGGAGCAAGATCAGAAGAAGGAGTCTGGTAAGAAGACGTTGGTTGCTGATCTTGTCACCAACACACCGCTACTGGAAAAGATAAGAGAAAAAGCCACTACTCCGGAAGCAACAAGAGTAAAGAACACTGCAGCGTCATTGAGCGCATTTCGGCAGTCTAGTCTAGCTCGGCCGAAGAGGTTGATTCGACGGAAGGTAGACAAAGGCAAAGCAGCAGCAGACCAAGATAGCTATGGCCATGGAGCATTCACAGGCGAGATACACGTTCACCGAATGAGTATGATTAGCCAGATCCAGGATCTCTTTCCAGACCTGGGTGCAGGCTTCATTGTCAAGTGCTTGGATGAGTACAACGACGACATCGAGCAGGTTACCGCACATCTTTTGGAAGATTCGCTACCGCCACACCTAATCGAGGCTGATCGGAGCGAGAAACTGTAAGTACTTCCGCTTGAGCTTCTGCCATCACAGATTCAGTCAGACATACTAATGCATGCTAGGCCCACACCAGCGACACTGTCACAGCCAATGCCACCACCTAGATCTAGCCAACACCTCCCAGAACGGCGCAATGTCTTTGATGACGACGAATTCGACAGGCTTGCAGTTGACACATCGCGATTCCATATTGGTCGCAGAGGTCAGGATTCGACTGCCGATAAGATCTTGTCCGACCGCAGTAAAGCGCCCGCCAAATCCGCAATCATGGCTGCACTGGCTGCCTTCGATTCAGACGACGACGAACGAGATGACACATACGATGCAGAGGACGTTGGCGCCTCTGTCGACACTGCCGCGCACGGACCTGGCGAGGATGCCGACTTGGGTGACAAGAATGAAGAAGCCCTATTCCGCGCTTACACCATGACACCTGAATTGTTTGGCCGCGAGTCAGAGATAAGGAGAGGAAAAGCTCGAACAGCCCTCAAGAGCGAGACTGGTATGACCGACGAAGCAATCGAAGGCTGGGCCATCATGATGGGTCGCAATCCTCGTGCACTGCGGCGGCTCGAAGCGAAATTTTCCAATTTCCAGGGTCAGCAGCGAGAGCTTCAATCAACAGCATGGCGGGACAGCCCTGCAGGGTCTGGCGACGAAGCGAGTGGTGATGGGCAAGGAGGTCGCGGTGGAAGAGGCGGCGGCGGTAGAGGAAGAGGTAGAGGGCGCGGACGTGGTGGCCCAGGTGGTGGACGAGGTGGTGCCAGCGTCGCAGGTCCTGCTGACGACAAAGGTACGCAAATATCACGGCAGCGCAAGGAGGCCAACAAGGGTTCAAGTGCGAACCATAATCGGAAGGCTCAACGGGGCAAGAAGATGGCCCGAGCAGGTTTCCCGGCAAGTTGAGGGGGCATACTGTTCACTCAGGTCAGGAAGCAACAATTTATCCTCTGCATTCAGAAATATTTCTACTTATCTCGGACGAGGCCGTAGCCGTACTTTCAATGCAAAAAGCGTAGTAGTATCACCATAACCTGACGATATCGGGATCATCCACCCTATCACCCGACCCCGCATCTTTACCCAAAAAGTTACTCAAGCCACGCACCTCTCAACCCCCATCATTCCACCCCTCTCCTCAAAAAAAGGCGCGTAGCTAATAAGCTCTCCGACGGGGAATCGACTGTTTGCACGATTAGACAAAGCTCAAAACACCCATCAAGAATTGGGTAGCACATACACCCCGGTCTCCCGCGCTTGTAAACACTTCGTGAACATTTGACAAGCTGTGACGACTGTCAATTTGATTGGTCCACGACATTCTCGCATTCCTCATTCATACCGGAAATCATGACCACTAGACCATCGAAGATGTTGCTGTTACCGTCACATGACGTAAGCAGATGGATGAGCGTTTGATGAGAGAAAGCTCAGATTATGCATCTATATTTCCTGAAATCATGGTTTTGAGGGGGTTTGGCTTGGGTAGCAAGTATCACGCGGCCAACACCAATGGGCAGGATGCGGGGTAGGCTCGTGGTGCCATGTGGTGATGGCACCCGGGCTTACCGGATCTCAGTCAGCCAGTTGGGGGGCGCAGGGTCGTGGATGGGCCTGGCATGGCTGGGTTCTGTGGCTGGGAATTTTAGTTGGCTGATGTGGGAAACTTCAGGAACGCGGACGCGACTGCGCGGCATGCTGGAATGCGACGCGACGACACCTGGGCACACAAACATTCGAAAATCATAAAAAGTATCGTAGAGCTCAAGCGTGTTCTTTGATTTTTCCAACGCGAGAGGCAAGCATTGGCCCCTTTAACCGCTTCTGTGTGAGCCAAAACGCTGATTCGCTTAGGTTTTTGGGCGTAGTTTGCGCGCAAGGGGCCTGCGCAGTACTCCCTGAAGGTGTCCTCAGCAACTCCTCACCCATGCATTGCATCACATCGCATCACACGTTGGACTCATCAAATTAATGGTACCACCATATTTCCAGCGCATCTTTTGCGCGGTATCTTCATGAAGTCGTGATAACCGAGCACCTCTCCACTGGAAGGCCGGTACAAGACGTAGCACTACGCCACTACTCAAAGTCGGCGCAAATACCCGTTATTGTACTTCCACAACTGCTCCAAGCACACCGCGGCAGCAACGTACTTCCAGCTCCTCAACGTGCGGTAGTTCTCCCAACCATCCGTTTCCAGCGCAACCATGAAGCACGCAATGGAGCGCGGCAGCGCCTCCGAATCTGCATCGCCGTCCCAGTCTCCATCACCCATTACTATATTCTTGATCATGTCGCTGACATCTCGGTTGAAGCGTTCTTGAACCTCGAGGTTGGCTTCGCGGACGTAGCGAGATGGTGCACGATCTTTCTTGCCAAGGATGTTACCACTAAACACCTCAAGCTCGGTAAGACGTGAGCCTCGAGACGGACGATGTGTGTCCATGATTTCGAACATGTTCTCTTCGTACGCTTCACGGAGTTGTTCTGCGAAATCCCAATGATGTTCCCATTGCACTCCACGGGTCTCTCGCATCACATATCGCTTGAGTTTCTGCACCAGCGTCTCATCACCCCGGCGATGGTGAGATGTTCGGTAGGCGTTCTTCATCTTATCGAAGAACGTTTTTTCGTCGATACGTCGATACAGAACTCCTAAGATCTTTGTGCTTGTGTAATATGAACTTCTTGGTTTCTCAGCGTTCAGCACACTCACCTCGTCGAAGTCGTCGCCCTCGAGCTCTTCGAGCTCAGCTGCGCCCAATTCGTTGACGATAAGGTTCGATCCTGGAGCCATGAAATCGGGGCGGATGTGATCACCACCTGGAGGTATCTGAGCCATGCTGGCAGGTATTCCGGATTTTCCAAAGTCGACGGCGTCGGATGCGAGCTTGGCAAGAAGCAGGCACTCTCGATCCAGAGTGCCAGCAGGAGCCTTATCAGCGCGGATCTTGTGCTTGTTCGAAATTTGTCCCAATCGATCCATGTTCATGTATTCGATAAAGAAGTCAATGATATCGTCGGCAGTTACCGGCCGCCCCAAATCCTTTGCCGGCGTGGAAGGGTAGTCGGCGGGTTGATAAACGCCTCTCGGGATCAATCGAGTGTCGTGGATGATGTGGAAAAGGTCTCCGTCGAGATCACCGCCACTTAGCTTCGAAGGCAGATCCCGCGGACCCTGCTGTGAGAATACGACGCAGTTGTGCAGTGCCCTGAGCGGCGAACCTTCTGGAACGTCGACTGCTTTGACGACCTGAATATCGCCTGGGTGTAGCGCAGGGGCTCTTGTGATGACTATTCGCTCGCCAACGAGTATGGTTCTCTTCAGTTTGTCGTTCGTATCGTAATCTTGTAGCGGAATGTAGACCTCGCCCTCTTTCAGAACATTCCATTCGTCCATGATGCCATAAAGGAGGTAGCCGTTCTTGATTGGAATACGCGCGCGATATTTGATATCCCTCAGGCTTGACATAGCTGCCACCTCCACGATGTCGGTGAGGAAGCTGTCCGCGTGGAATGATAGACCCATCTCATTCATTCGCCGAAACAGTGACGGGACTCTCGCAAGATCACCCGAGTGGGAGTATTCTAGCAGGCTTATTAGCACATATGACCCTATGTTCGGGAAGCAGTTCATGGCGATGCCGCCGGGTATGAGGAACCAAACATCCTTTCAGGCCGCACAGCATGTGCTAGAAAATCGGAACTTACCGAGAAGGCTGGCTGCATTCAGAGGATGCTCCGTCATGAGTTTCAGTTCTGTGACAGCTTCATCCTGGACCGCCATGAAGTTTTCCATAGGTATACGTAAATCTTCAAGGATCTTGATGAACTGGTGGTTCAGATACACTCTGAGAGGCTTGTAGGCAGCTCCACAGATTTCCAAATCCCTCCACTCTTCTTTGGCGACGTATTTGGTCATACTCTTTCGGGCGTGCAGTTGCTCACCTTGCAATGTCGTATCTAGTGATAGTACGCCCTTCGCACCTCTGAACCGGATCTGTAGCACCGTCGGCCTGAGTGCTCTACGGTCCGGCTGGAAGGCGTTCCAAACTTTTTGAAAGAGGCTCAATGACAAGGTTCCGCAGCCGTCACTGAATGTGCGGTTGTTTCTCGTGACGTCGTCCTTCATTTCGTTTACATAGGCGGTTTTCGGGATCGGCACCGAGAATGTTGTATCTAGATGTCGATGTACAATGTCAGCACACATCTCACATACATTTGGTGCCGGAGTGAACTCTACCGGAGAACGCCTGCCCTATCCTCGCCGCGCATTTTGCAGCGCAACGAATCTGGGAAAAGTCACCCAAATCGCGAATGCTTGATGAAGTCAGTACATGTCCCACACGCAAATCGTACGTACTTACACATCTCTTGCACAGACGAAAATACCATCTTTCTTGAAAGGAGCCATAAACCAAGTTTCATGAGTACGGAGTGACGCATGTGAAAAGCCGAGAAATTGAAATGTATGTCCGGCGACCGTGATACCGGTTCGGAGTACGCCTCGAAAGCGTTCGTAAACTCTCTCTTGCGATGCCCGTGGGTCATGGAATACCGGCAGCTCGTCCTCGTCTGCGAAGAACACGCGCATGAAGAACTGGGTGTGGGTGTTGTACTTCCTCAATATACGATTGGAGACGACCCAGTCAGGACCGCGTAGCAGGATACCTGAAATGTGGCTTTAGTTGTGCAAATTGGAGTATTGGAAGTCTACATACCGGTAGGCGTGACCGTGGCCTTGTACGTTAAGGCGAGGTGGTTCTGCTTCTTCTGTTTGACGTCCCAAGTCCGGGAAAGTTCCTCAAGACGTTCACAACATTCGATGCTTTCATCAAGAATGCGCTTAATAGTATTGATCATGAAGCTTTTCGCTTCAACAGCTGGTGCGGGTGTCGGTATTCGCTTTCCTCGGCGACTGATTGCGTTTACAGTAAGATCTGTCGCCTTAACCCCCGGTGTAGGCGTCGGTATCCGCTTCCCAAGGAGACGCACTGCGTTTGCGGTGAGTTCTGTACCATGCTTCTCAACAGCGTTTTGTACTACTGGTATCAATTCCTTCATTTTCCACGGGGCAATTGCACCCTCTAGCATGAGCGCTGTCAATTGGTAACGTATATTGAACGTGAAGGTCTGCGGAAAGGATGGTCCGTAGTCGCTAAGCATCTTGTTGACGACCGCATACTCGTGTTCAATACTGCCCGTCAAAACGGTGGGCTCCATGGTCTTCAACCACTTTGTGTTAGGTCCCGCGAAGAAGGGCTTAACAAAGGTCCAAGCGAGATCAACGCTTCGGGTGTCGAAGAAGGCGATCTTGTAGACCATACACAAAGCGGAGTTCATGTTGTGGGAGTTACTCAACTTGCATAGTCTCTGTAGCCGAAGAACTGATTTTGGCGGCTTGATGCCGAGTCTCGACAATGCGGCAGAGATGTCATTCGGTGCTTGCTCACCGGCATACAAGTGTAGATCATTGGTCGACTGAATGTCGTAGAACTTCGGTGGAGACTTGAGGGTGAATGTTATCGTTCCGTGTTGGCCATTGCCGCGAGACGGAATGATGTGCTCTATGGTAGCATAATCAATATCAATTCTGCAATGCCAGTTGAAGGCTTCGGCGGTCTCTGCCCGGAGGTAAATCTGTGTGGGTAAGCAGCCGTGTTGGCATTGACATGTTCGATGTAGAAAGATATGCCTACCACTAAAGCATTCTTGCCGAACGTAATGTAACCTTGCCTTTTATCCTTGAGCTTCTGGTCAAAGACGAGCTTGCCAAGGTGATCGTAATCCCAGACGCCTGTCATCAGGGTACGGAAAGACAAAGTCGACCCTCCCGGACGCTGAAGTTTCGCGATAGGCGCCGGACTTTTGAATCTTTTGGCCTCTTCTATCTCTTGCTTCTCTCTGAGTGACTTGAGTTGGAGCGGATCTTCCCGACGCTTGTTACTCTGGCGAAAGTCGAGCGGCTGATTCCCAAAATAAAGAGGTTGCAGCGCCTGGCGTCGGCCCTGACTACCGCGTATATCCAGAAATCGATTCCCACTGCTAACGCTCGGTACAGTGAGAATGGCGAAATCATTATGTTGACTGGAAAACTTTCGAATGTCGAATGCGAACACGTCAACGCTGTGGAGAGCGTCCTGAAGGGTGTAACGTAAGAGGACGTGATTGGCGTCTTTGGGAACCTAATGTTACGGCATCTGGTTAGCGACTGCTTTCCTATTCGCGCCCAGCGATTACTAGCTCAGGTAGTGTTGTGAGCTTACTTTAGGAATGTAGATGTCCATCTTGAACGACGGTGTTACCTCGAAAGGCTGGCCCACCAGACGTGTGAGTGATAAGCTTTATTGGCACCTCAAAGTCGCGCGAATTAAGGCAAAAGAGTAGACAATGTGAGGCAGGAAGCTACAGGTCGCTGCGAGCTCGCTGACTGGGGAAGTGGGGATGGCGCTAACAGATTGGGCAAGACGCGTTCTCACGTGCGCGTTGCGGGGTTACCTTTCACCTTTGAATCTGAACCACAGCAGACCGCTGATAACAGGCACGTAATTGTACTGTACCGCTTAGTCAAGCCTGCAACCATTGTGGACGTGAGAGAATTCGGCTCTGCTGCCTAATGCTGTACGTCAGTCGCGTAAAAAGGCCCGCATGCGGCGTGTCACCATGCGACAGGTCGCTCTGAAGGAGGGTTTACCAAGACGCATCTCTTCCACAAAAGGCAGCGATCATCCCACGCTATTCACGACTCATACAACGCAGCCATCCGCATCTGTACGTATCCCCACGCGGTTACAGGCTCGTACTTCTTCGGCTTCTCTTCATCCCAACAACCTGGCAACGCATCGATAACTGTATCCATATTTGGTGTCGCGAACACAGGGACTGAGTAGCGATCTGGTACTACTATCTCCCTGTCGTTCCGTTCGCCGTCTTCAGTGACCTTTTGAAGGACCGGAGGTAGGCCAACACGATGCACACTGCTTGTCCAACGATCGTTGCTCCATCTCGCCATGAGATCTCCGATGTTGACCAACACAGTGTCCTCGACGGGCTCTGCAGCACGGAAATTACCTTGGTTCGCAGGTTCCTGTACTTCAAGTCCTCCAACGTTGTCCTGGAATAGCAAAGTGAGCGTGCCAAAGTCGGAATGTGCGTTGATCCTGCTGCGCTCATTATTGCGTAGCTGTTCGGCGTCGATGGAGGGGTAGTGAAGAAGCCGGAGTTGGAAGAGCGACTGCGAATGGGTCGGAGAGAGGCCTGGTGCTGGAACGTTGAGAGCAATGGAGAGAGCGCCGAGGATGCTGTGGATTAGACTGGCGCACTCGACAAAGTACTTCTCCATGGATGCGCGAAAGCCCGGAAGCTTATCTTCTGGAAGCCAGATATTTGGCTGAGCCTCATCTTTCACGTTGCCAGACTCGAAGGACTCTTTATAATCAGGCGTCTGCCTCTCATTAGCTTATACCATGGAGAGCGAAGATGAATGCAACTAACCTCCCTCAGCTTGTTCAGCTCATTAATATCATAAACCCCTTGACTAACTTTCTCCACTCCAGGCGCCGAGTATCCACGATGATGACTGCCACCCGGCGGATGCGGAGCCAGCATCTTGGTCTCAAGCGGTAGATCGAAGAACTTCTTTGACCAAGCAAAGCACTCCTCCACCAGCTCCTTCCGCACGCCATGGTTCTTCAGGTAGACAAAGCCCATACTACGGAATGCATCGTCGATCTCCTTGGCGATCTTCTCCTGATCCTCTGCTTTACCGTGCAGGAACGCGCCGAAGTCGACGATAGGTATGCCGCTCATCTCGTCGATGGCAAGGATTAGAAAGTGAGAAGTGGTTGTGACGGAGAAACGAACAGAGAAAGAGGCAGGTGCTGACTCGCGGGTTGCTTCTATTTTGGGTAGATAGGTAGGAACGGCAAGCACGCAGTAGTACAGCGGCGGGGTCAGGTCATCGGCAATGCGGGGTACGTTCAGTTGTCGCAAGATGCAGTGACGGATCAGCGTGCGTCAGCGCAATGCGTCTGAATTGTGAGGTGTTTCTCGATACATGCTTCTCCTATAGGATGCATAGGGTAAAACTGCGGCGAAGACTGTTGCCAAGCACGTGATGCTTCCTCGAAGCTATCATCGAGAACAGGCCAACACCAACCTTAGAATGCTATGCATACCAGATGTCCCATGTCCTACCCTTCGTCCTAGAATGCTTTGGTGATCCACCCGCCCCATGACCATGCTACCATACCCGATGCCCTTTGGTTCCACCACAAATCCTTTCACCATCAAGAATTATACACGCCCGCTTCTCATGGAAGCTTACGACTCTCCGAACATGTCTGCCACGCCTGCCAATCCGGGGCTGGTACCTCGGACTATAGTCGGCTGTTGGTCCACACTCATGTACTGCTCCATCATGACAGTCCTGGCCTTGGTCTTCGTCGATCTCTGTATTTTGCCTTGCTCGTGAATACTGATACCCTTGATGCTACTCATGAGATCTAGTACGATGCTGCGCTGCATACGTTCGTCCGACCTGTTCGCTCCACGGAGCTTTGCAAGACGGCGGTCGACGCGATACTGGTCACCCATGCCGGGTAGAGACAAGATGATCGAGCGCGGTATCTCCTCGTCCAGGTGAATGATGCCCGCGATGAGTGAGGCGAGCTCTTTCTGGCAGTCCACAAAGTATGGCTCATGGAGGGACGTAATGGCTGATTTGAGGATGTCATTGCAGAAGTAGTCACGAATGGGCGACTTCTCCTTGAACCGTGGGAGCAGGGTGCGCAATACGCGGACCATGGTGACAACGGACCTAGTATCGCGATAACGTATTGTTGAGTTGCAGAAGAGGAGGATAGGCTCGAGGACGGCAGGCGTTGAGAGAATGAAGTCGCACATGGGCGGTGCATTGGCTTCTTTTCGACTGTGTTCATCGTGACGGGCAAATTCTGTGACCAGGTCAGCTTTTAGTCATAAAACACGATTAGGAGACTCGGTACTAGAACCGATACCCCAACGCAGATAGAAGTCGCGAAAGGAACACCACCAAGCACGATAAGTAATAGACGACTTACCCTGTCTCGAATCGAGCAGGACAGCGACAAGCGAAACCGCAGCATATGTGAGCTGTCGCAGTATGCTCTCGGTCTTCATCTCGTCCGTCAAGTTGTCGTTCTGCCCCGAATCCGCCACCTGTCGGGCAACCTCGTTCCATTCTCCGGAGATTTTTCGATCCAGCTCTCTGAATAGCCCCTGTATCATGGGTGGCAGGAAATGTGGTCGTAGACGCGCTGGGCAACCTTCAATGAGATGGGTGGATACGGTTAGTAAGACAGATAGATGATGCGCAGTCAGAGCGCCTGCGTGGCCAAACAGGGCTTGACTCAACGGGCCTGGCAGATCTTCTATCCCATAGAAGAAGTCTCGAAATCGCGTTAACGAGTAGAGGATGTAGTACGAGCTCTCCCTAATCTGCCTTACAGTGCCTCGTACCGTCGATGCAAAACCCTCAAACGTCGACTTGGAGCCACTAACTCTTGCAAAGAAGTCGTCTCGGCTCTCTGTCGATATGCCCGCTTGCCAGAACCGATCTGTCAGTACTCTCCGAATAACCTGCTGTAGTTCTACTGGCAAGTGTGACCAGTTGGCGTCGATATCGTTGAATGCTTGTGCATGGCTCACAAGCTGGAGAAGGTTTGGGAGCAGCACTGGTATGGCCTCTGCCCAGAGTAGCGCAGCAGTCTCGTACGCAGCAGTGCCATCGCGAAGCTTTTCCGTCGATGCTGCCAGTAATGTCTTAGTAAGTCGTAGTGGCAGTTGTTGAGAACGGTCAAGAATTGAGGCCTGCAACGCCTGGCCATCACTAGGCAATTGTTGGTCAGACCAGTCCTGAATGCCGCGGAAGTTGTTCGCAGACAGAAACTCGGGTAATTGGCCCATTCCCAATACGCCACAGAAGGACTGGAATGAAGAGATGGCTTGGGTGAACTCATCGTTGCGCCAAGCATCCTTGACACGGTTGAGCATCTGTCTCATGCGCTCCTCTTGCGTGGCGCGCTCTAATGTTGTACATCTATGTATGATGATGAAAAGGAAAGCGGAGTACGCCATACGTTGGCGTTCGTCAGTCGTAGGATCATTAATCATCTCATTGACCTTGGCCTCTAGTTGCTCGTAGACGTTCATAAAGTCGTCAGCGAATTTCATCGCTAGTTTCTGCATCTCAAGACTGCATATGCGCTCGAGGTCTTTCACAGCATCGGAGTACTGTGGATAGTTCGTGTCATCGGCTAGCCGTACTGTAAGCATATACTCCAAGAAGGTAAGAGCGAATCCTGGGCGGTCGCCAAGGGCTTTTGTTGAGAGAGTTGCCATCAAAGATATTATCTTTCTCGCAACTTCAGGATCTTCGAAATGCGCTTGCAGGATTTGCCTGCCCCACTGCTCGAGCGAGTCTTCCAGTGTATTCCGCGTCCGCTCATCATCTTGCGCGTTTTCGCCTTGCCCTTGCTGCCACTTCATGTACCCCTTGAGTGCAGCTTCGATGACAGTGACCTGCGCATCGACCTGAAGGACTTGTGGAGAGTTCTTTGTGAAGTTTTGGCGCTGGAAAGCAGGCTGATCATGGTACAGGTTCTGGAGCATGTTCGTCGCCTGAGCAAGGATATGCGCCATTGCCTCTACTGGTGTCTTGCGTACCAGGACTTCGATCACGTCTGCGCAGAAGCGCCGATAGTTGCCTAGAAAAGCATGACGTTCCGGTACCGTATCAATGTCTTCGTTGAGAAATTGTAACGTAACGTCTTCGGTATCTTCGGGTAACGATTCGTATCGAATGAGTCGGGCGCAGCACGTCTCAAGTAGCCCGCCAACCATGGAGTTGACGACATCAGAGTCTCGCACGATGCTAGATCGTAATAGCTTGGTCCAACAATGAAGAACAGGTATGGAGACGACGAGACTCGGGTTGCGCATGATATCGTATAGGAAACCGAATATGCCGGTTAGGTCGCTCCCATCTGGTATCGATTGGGGCTTTTGCTCGATGAATAGTCCGAGGCTGTTCGCCAACTGTCATCATTAGCACGGTGTGACAAGCCTGAAGGATAAGAAGGGGCCTTACTTCTGAGAGTCTCTTGCAGAGCATGTATTTCTGATCATCTATGTCATTCACATCCATATCCGTGAGCGTCCAGTTGTATACTTCTCGCAGGAGTGAAACACTGCCAGGTGTGAACATGGGGCATACAAGCTCCACAAACTCGTCGTCGTGCAGGTGGGTTCGGTTGTAGATCGCTTGGAGGGTCTCGACGGCGGCCTGTTCGTGTTAGCAGCTGTCCATGTGAGTGGATGTAAAGAGTCGACATACAATCTGCATCTCTACGGCTGGGGTAGCCAGCGCCTTGCAGACGGCCTCGATGACCTGTGTTGCAGCGATAGCCTTGGGCATGATCCACGGCATGGCCGCCTTGAGGGCCTGCATAGACTTGATAGCGCTTGTCTTAACAGCTTCCTGGTTCTGGTAGTCCTGACCCAAGCACCAGCCCAAGTTGTCGCATAGTCTCTTCAGCCATCCTTCGTCTCCACACCGCACATCCAGACTCTTCTCGCGTGTAGGGAGCTGGTCTTGTATGACGGCAAGCGGTGTGAAAATCTCGACGCAGGCGCGACCCAGGTCGCTACCTCGAAGGCCTGCGGTAGGGTCTTCGCGATTGAAGACTTCCTCAGAAAGGGTTTCCAGGACGTATAGCACGACAGCCTGGTGGTGCAGAGAACTTGTCCAGAGCGAGACCAGCAGTTCGTCCATATCCAGCCACTCGGCGCCCCAACTGCGCTTCGCAATCTCCGTCCATAGCTGCGCGACCTTGTTCCTTAGGAATGCGGCATCGTCTTCGGACACGTTTTGAGCGAGCTCGATCGCATAGCCTCGTAACGCTGTGCCTTGGTCCTCTGTGAAGTCCTCCCAGCTGTATTTTATCGAGTGCTCCAGCATAGTGAGGCCATAGTAGCGGAGGGGTGCGGGTTGCGAGCGGTCGAGTGCGAGCGTGTGACCATGTGAGGGCGCTTCCGGATGCCGTTTCGCTTGCTCGAGGTATTCGGTTGCCTGGCGGCGGGTATCATTCGTTGACGAGGTTGCGTATATGGCCTGCAGCGCTTCCAATATCTGTGAGAGGTCTGAGTCGCCGCTGCCGTTGGACTGTCGGTGTTGCGCTCCACCGCCGCCATTCGTTTGCGGGGCCTGGTCTGCCCCAACGTTCATCGTGCAGAGGGCGTCTCTAGCCTCGGTATATAAAGACGTGAGGTCAGGTGAGTCTGGCGCGAACTGCACGGGGATATTGTAGCAATGTCGTGTGCGTCGTGTTCTGGATTTCGAAGATTCGGGCGGAAGTTGCTGAAAGCGGAAGACGTAGAGGGCAAGGATCGTGGGTAAGGAAGCTTTGGCGCCCGGTGTCTGGAACAGACCAGAGAAGATGGCGGTGTAGCGAGTAAGCCCAGATTCATTGACTCACAGGCCGGGACGTGGTACGCTTTATTTCGAGGGTCCAGCAAGGCAGTCGAGGCCTCTATTCACGTCGCACGTTCCACAGACGCGTTTTGCAGGCTGCAGTCCCAAAGGCACGTCACGTCGACGCGATGTCAGCTGCTTTGCCGCCAGAACTAGGCTCGTCGCTTCCGAACTAGTCTATATCCAATACATGTATCGCTATATACAAAATCATAAGTCTATCGTAAATGCTCCCCGAACACCTTGACGAGTACATAAAGTCGTCCAACGCTCATGTTTGCCCAAATGAATCATATGCACAAGAACTGCCGACTGCGTGACCTGAGCATCGCATGATATTGCATCACCGTGCATCGATTGGTCAAACCCCACCACACCAAACCCCGACATCATCAACTTTGCGACATTACATGACAGCGCAAGTCTGCTTTTGGCACTGCTGGAGATATCCCTCATCTTCTTCCGTGCCTAGCGCGCTTCCCGGCTTTCGCACGACGCCTTTGACAGTCATGACCTGGTCACCTTCCGCGTGCCACCACCGCAGCGTCTGCTGCAGCGCGCCGTCGGTCTCCTCGGATGTGATGGTCCACTTGCCACCGCTGACCTCGACATTGGTTTGTCCTGACGGAAAGTGGAACTCAGGCAGGTAGCAGACCGTAGGGAAATCTTCCGATGTCGAGCTTGGCGCAGAGAGGGCAAGCTTGAATGTGCAGTTCTTGAGGTCGAACCCGTACGACGAAATGTCCCCATGGACGGCAACGGGGGTGGGGCGGATGAAGGCCTCTGCTGCTCGCAGACCCCGAACGTCGTCGTCATCTTTCTTTGAGCTCATTCGTTCTGCGGTAATGGTCTTCTGCAGGTTGGAAGGGTTGATGCTAAGGGTATCGGTCGACTGTGCTCTAGAGAACGTGGGCGAATTCTTATCTAGCGACGCACGGGAGTCGGCTGGCGAGAAGGGGCCTGCAGGAACCGCCTTGTCGTCTACTGAGTAGATGGAGAGATCCTCTCCGTTCCAAAGGTCACCCCAGTAATGGCAGTTCTGGTCTTTGTCAGCCGTGTCCAATTCTAGACAGAATGCAAACATACATTTGCGACATAGGTCCACAGAGCGAAGCCATTAGCTTTACTGTCTTCAAGCGCGAAGTGATTGGCATCCAAAGCAGCTATCTGGCTGCTGTAGTTACCTGTCTTGTACGCATACTTGTCGTCCATATCGTATGGGATACCGATCTCGGTGAAGATACATGGGTGGACACCCGTGTACTCTGTACCTTCGTCTCGGATCGCCTTGAGCTGGTGGGAGAAGCAGTTTCTGATGGCATTCTCGCCAATCTTTATGGCGAACGCTGGCGTGAGATACTTTCCTCGCAACACACCGAATACGTCGACATTCCATACGCGGTTCCTATGTGATGTTAGACGAGATGAGATGAGAATCAGTATTCTGGAACATACCACTTCTTTGTGATAAGAGTGATGCCATCGTAGAAATGGGGCGAGAAGATCATGTTGGGATCATCGTCTTCTGTGCCCTTGACCTTTGGCGGTATCTCCAATACTGGCGGCTGGAAGAACATCAAAGAATCCGGGAACATGGACTTGACCATCTTGCTGTACGCCCGGTAGTGTGGCAGCCAGTAGTGGTTTGTGAAGTACTCATAGTCAATCTTGGCCCCATTCTTGGGATCGATTCCGAAGTAGTCCTTCTTCAAGACCGTGTCAGTCGCCGGGTCCCAGACACCGTGTTGCGCCCACAAGCATTCGCCCAACTTCCACCCTGGGTCGCGTTTCCAGCCGTATTTGGTGTCGTCGTAATCTTTCGATAGCCATGCCATAGTGCCCTCGGGGTCCACTAATGCCGAGCCACTCTTGTATGGTCCCAGCCCGCCAAATTCCCAAGTCGATATCTCGCAAGCTCTGCCCGATCCGGTAAGTATCGCCTGCCAAGCCGTCGGCGAGGTGCCCTTCTGGAGTTTTTGTTCGCTCGGAATCTGGGTAATATCTTGGTAGCTGATGAGGCCTCTGTTGGGCTCGTTCATGCTTTCCCACCCAATGATCGGGTCGTGCCACAAGTCGCCTGCTTGGTGTATCCGCTTCGCAAGATGCTCGCATGCCCCGATGTAGTGATCTTCCAGATAGTCCTGGATGTTCTTTCCATCTATGATGGCCTTGGGCGCGAAGTCCCTACCACCAAAGAACAGCGTCCACATAACCTGACACACTAATCGTGTGTAGTTGGTGGTCCAGATCATCTTAGGGAAGGTTGCAGGGTCGGGGTATGTGTTGTGCACGAGGGCGGCTTCGGTGACGGCGAAGTTCTCGGGGTCCAGCCCACAAGCATAGAGAGTCCACATGGGCGCGCCAGAACCACCAGAGAATCGTGACCACTATGTGATGCATTAGAGAAGGAGTGAATGAATCTATTGGAATGCTACCTACGACGTCCTGGTGAGGATCCATGAAGATGTAGAACCCATATTCCTTTGCCTTTCGTAGTAACGCGATAGTGTGGTCTATCCACTCCTCGTCGTACTTTCCCGGGCCCGCGTGCTCTATGGCTTCCCACGTGAAGACATAGCGGATGGTGTTGTAGCCCCAGCTACGTAATCGCGAGAAGTGTGTCGCGGAGTCTTCTAGCGAAAAGGGTCTGTTGACAAAGGAGACACTGTCTCCGTCGAAGAAGTTGTCTGGAATGTGTGACGGCTGATCTGGCTTCGCAGGAAACTTGGCGTCGGCTGCACAGTTGATACCGTGCAGGGTGACTTCGCGGTTCTGGGGGTCTCGGAATATGCGTCCGTCGATACGCAGCCGAATGGGAGACATTACTGGGGGCAGGCGTGTGGACGGTTACGAGGAGAGTGAATGAGAGGAACAGGAAAAGGTGCGCAAGGCGGGTACGAAGAGGAGCTATGAGGTATGCGCCTGTCTAGTCCTGATGGCGTAGCGGCGGCGTTCACGGGCATGCATCTGGGCATGTCGTAATCCATGCCTGCCCGCATTAGCGTTCTGGGGGTCGCGGGGGTCAGTGCGTCCCGGCTATCATGCGGCTGGTCGCTGAGGACAAGTTGCAATTGTTCGACAGTGAAAGGCCAAATAAAGACACGACCCGCTCTTTCCATGAACTGACCGTCGCACCTGCCGTTGCTTCTCTGCGCGGACTATACTCCTGCTTGCTCAACATCCAACCTACCGTCACTCATTCATAGCACGTTCAACCGCATCCCGCCATGATACTCCGACTATCCTCTCTTGCCCTCGGGCTCCTCCCGCTCGCCAGCGCACTCTCCGCCTCGGACATACCCACGGACACTCCCGTGTCGCAGCTCATCAAGGACGCCAGCGTCCAACTCGCTACCGGCAACACCCAGGACGCCCTTCTCTACTTCGACATCGCCATTACCCGCGACCCGCGCAACTACCTCACCTACTTCAGGCGCGGCGCCGCTTACCTGCAAATCGGCCGAACGGCGCAGGCCCAACATGACTTTGACAAGGTGCTGGAACTGAAGCCTGGCTTCGAGGGCGCATTAGTGCAGAGGGCCAAGATCAGAGCCAGGAAGGCCGACTGGGCGGCAGCGCGCAAAGACTACGAGGCTGCCGGCAAGACCGATGCCATCGCGGAGCTGGAAGAAGCGCAGGGCGCTGCCATCATGGCGCAGGAGGCGGCAGAGAAGCGCGACTGGGACGCGTGTATCTCGAATGCTGGAACTGCCATCTTAGTCGCAGGAGGCGCATACGACATCCGCAAGACAAGAGCGAGGTGTCGCTTCGAGAAGGGCGAGGTCGCCGAGGGCATCAGCGACCTGCAGCATCTCCTCCAGATCAACAAGGGCGATATCCAACCCCATCTCCAGAGCTCCGCCATGGCCTTTTACTCCCTGGGCGAAACCGACAAGGGGCTCAAGCACATCGCGCAATGTCTTCAGTCAGACCCAGACTCGAAGGTCTGCATGAAGCTACGGAGGAGAGAAAAGAACCTCGACAAGGACATTCAAAAGGTGCGCAAGTTCTTCGAGAAGCGCCAGTTCGCCACCGCCTCGAAACTCCTCATCGACCGCGGCGAAGAGGACCCGGGCCTGTTGAAAGAGGTCAAGCAAGACTTCAAGGACTACACCGATCAAGGCTACATCTACGCCAACTCACCCCAAGGTCTCTATCAGACCCTCGTAGAGATGACCTGCGAAGCCTACGTCGAGATGAACAACCTGAAGAAGGGCACACCGTACTGTACCGAAGCCCTACAGCTCAACCCCGACTCGTTACACGCCCTCCTTCACAAGGCTCAATTCCAGCTTGACGCCGACGAATTCGAAGACTGCGTCCGAACCCTAGAGCACGCGAAAGAGCACCACCAGAACCAGAAGCTCGACGAGTTACACCACAAAGCGCAGACACTGCTCAAGCGCTCGAAGACAAAGGATTACTACAAGGTGCTCGGCGTGACGCGCGATGCAGACGAACGCGAGATCAAGAAGGCATACCGCAAGCTGACCAAGATGTACCACCCCGACAAGGCCTCGGCCAACAACATGACACCCGAGGATGCGCAGAAGAAGATGTCCCAAGTCAACGAAGCCTACGAAGTCCTCTCCGACCCCGAGCTCAAGGAACGATTCGACCGCGGTGACGACCCCAACAGCAACGAGCAGCAACAAGGCAATCCCTTCCAGGGTTCACCCTTCGGAGGCCAACAATTCATGTTCAGACAAGGTGGAGGTGGTGGCTTCCCTGGTGGCGGCGGTAGCTTCAAGTTCCAGCAGGGCGGCGGCGGTTTCCCAGGTGGTTTCCCAGGTGGATTTGGCTTCTAGACTATTGCTATTGCTTACTTATATGACTTGGAGTTTGGGAGCATGCACAGTGGGTCAGTCATTCACATGGGTAGAAGATTCTGGCGTTGTCCACTGTATGATATCGTTGCTTCGACTGTATTGAGAAATGAATTATGGTAGCTAGTAAGTGTGAAGATACCTCTTTCCTGCTAGTCCACTTTCCTCCTTGTCCTTAACTCATTTCGAGCATCCATCTCTCTTTGTCGGCATTTTCAATCGATTCCCATAATGTGGCCGCTACGAATGGTCTCGTTTCATTTTGATCTGTCCTCAAGCGGACTGTACCCTGTAGGTATTCGCTACACTGTACCTTGTCGAAGGTCAACACAGAGTTCAGCGGATACCTCCAGGCTGTAGTGTAAGCCTACCTTACTTTGTCTCGTATGATTTAGGTTTCGCAATCCATGGTCTTGGGACGAAGCCGTCGGGTGCGCCTCGCTGCTCAATGAGCTTGCGAACCAGGTCGTTCACGAATTCGGAGCAGGTATGCTTGATCAGATCGTCAAGACCGAGCCATGATGGTGACGCACTGAAGACCCAAAAGTCTACCAGCAACCGTCGGACGGGTGAGCCAGTGGGGGTACCAGCGTAGATGATCTGTACCGAGGTGTTTCCAGGGTGCCTGCCGTTGGTTCGGTTGCGTCGGATTATAGCGGCGACGACGCTGTTCTGCAATGTAACGTCCAAAATCCGTTCTCCTAGGACGTAGAGTCTTGCGAGGTATATGTAGCACGCCTCGTTATCAAGATGCGTGATCTTGCCTGTGTACAGCCATCCGCAATATCCTTCGAAAACGACTAGATCCACGTCAGATATGTCGATGGGCTTCGTAGCATCTGTGCGCCACTCTGATTTCAACGCGTTCTTGAAGAACCCGGAGCTCTTGGTCAAGGCGGTGGCATGAACATGTAACAGCGTCTCCGGATCGCTGCCGACGTGAATAGGTACGATGTCGCCTCTCAAGGTGGGTGTCTCGAACTCATCTCCCGCCTCTACCAGAACGATCATGGCGGTAGCTGAAGTGGGCGCGGGGATTTTCACTATCGGCATGTTTGACCTGTCTGCTCATAATGTCAGTCACGGAGAATGTGAGTCGCTTCGAACTTACTTGCAGCCACGACTTAAGCCGATGTCGAAAAGATGAGTTAGTGGACGAATAAGAGGTTGTTGAAGGTGCACACTTGTGGAACTGAGTGAGAGAACATAGGTATCTTCGATTTCGCGCTAACGATCTCTCACTCACCAACCTTGGAAGGTGCAGTCACACGCTCCTAGAGCCAGGTGAAGAAGACCCCGACATTCTAATTTGTTGAACCATTTCTGACAGAACAGGCGGCTATGTATGTGTACGATCTTGCTTCGCGCACGAACCGCACTCAGTTTAGCTTCCCAGGTGAGGAAATTACATATAACCCTGGAGGTATTCAATCTACTTTTTGTTGAATTTTTACTAGACCAGAGGACTATGTATACTTTATAGTACATCATCACTTGTAGCGTGTTCTGGATGCAAGGGATGTAGTCTCCTACATACCCCAGAATGCATCAAGCACGTCCACCTCCTCCTGGACGGAAGGGTCAGTATTGTTGGCAGGCTCATCCTCGCTGGGTGATCCATCCCCGCTGGAAGACTCATCTTCGCTGGAAAGCTCTTCCTCGCTGGAAGGCTCGACCTTGATGAAGGGCTCATCTATCATGGAAGGCTCTTCCTTGATGTGAGTTTCATCCTCAACGTAAGGCTCGTTCTTAACGAAAGCTTCCTCCTCGGCGGAAGGGTCATCCTTGATGGAAGGCTCAGAGATCGCCTCGCTGCCCCTGTCTTCCGGCATTTCGCTCTTGATTACGACACCCTTGTTGTAATAGGAACTTCGTTGCGATATCCATGGCCTAGCTTGGGAAGCATCCGGTAGTCCTCGCCTGTCTAACAGTACCGGTAAGAGGTCATCCAGAAAAGGTTTGTTCTCTGGCGCTCGAAGTTTCGTATCAGTCACCCAAGAGGAGTCCATGTTGAAAACCCACATATCCACCAGGAGACACCTTACAGGGGCTTCTCTCGGAGCGCCCTTGTAGATGGTTCTGATAGCTTCCAGATCAGGTACCTTGTAGCGCGGGACTTTTCGACTCAGTCGCGCAGTGACATTGCGGAAAATAATGGCGTCGACGACATCGTTCTGGAACGTTGGGTCGATCAACTTCTCTCCCAAGACATACATATGAGCCAGGTAACTGAATCCTTTGTGATCGTGTAATTTCGTGTCAAGGTCTCGAGTATATAGCCATTGACAGTATTTATCGAAAAGATGAGGCTGTTGGTCGGACAGATCGATGAACCTGCAGAGGTAGACGTAAGAAGTCAGTAAATGTCTCATATGCATGCATTTGGTAAGGTGAGAACTTACCGGGAAGATGACATCGACTCGGACTTAATGGCGTTCCTGAAGAACTCGGAGCTGCTGCTGATGAGGTCCTTGTGTACGTCGACGATCTGGAGGCCGACTTTGACTGCGATGGTCTCGCCCGAGACACTAGAGACGTTAGATGCCTGTATTTTGAGAAGACATAGGCGTCAATTCACTCCGGTAGCTTGAAGGTAAATGTAGCTGATTCACATGAGTCTGGGGAAGCCATCTTGCTGTAGGCTTCCCGCTCCTTGTTAGTACGCAATAGCAATGAGATGGTTAGTTAAGCAGGACGGTGGGTTGCAAGGTATTGGTTCGAAAGTGAACCCAAATTGCGACAGAACAGGCACAAAGCACGGACGCTGCAGCCTCAGCCGATCCTCAACGGTACGTAGTGAAAGTGAGTGTGAACTCGTCTCAAAGAGGAAAGCGCGCCTTTCTCTAATACCACCCACGATGGAAGCACTGACGTTTTTGGCACGATAGGCAAAATGCCGATTATCTTAGTGTAGCAATTCGGATATCCTGTGGAAAACACGCACGGCTAGATATGTATGTTCTGGTGCTGGATATTACACTACCTAGGTAGAGACTACCTAGTTAATCGGGTTAGAACAAGCCGTGTTCATGTGCAGGATCCAATCTCAACCCTGCAGCGGGCCTTGCAACGGTATTACCCATGAATTCTTCCGCCCTCGGCACCACATAACTCCAGTATCCCGCGCTTTTCCATCGATACGCTTCTTCAGCCCCCTCAATATCTCGATCCATCCAAGATGTCCGTTTCAGTCTCTTCACTACTGCGCCTTCCTCGCGAACTGCGCGATCAAATATACACTCACACTTTCGACGATTCGGAGCCCTTTGTGAAAAACCGAGCTGCAATCACGACATCCAGCAAAATCGCGCTCTTCCACGACCTCCCAGCCTTGTGTCAAACCAACCGCCAACTGTTCAGTGAAGCCACACCAATTTTCCTTGCTCAGAACCTGTTTTCCTGGAACACTCAGGAGTCGAATCAGCTCCTGGACCTGTATTCTCATCTACCTGAAGATGCACCATCCAAGCACGTCAAGCATGTCTCGATATACAATTGGACCGAGCAAGGCACTCCCGCGCACCTGGAACTAATTTGCAAATTCACCCAGCTCGAGTTCGTCGAAATCGTCTTCAGTTTCCCCAGTATTGAAGATGGCGTGCGCATGGAGAGGTTCGATTACACCAACGAGCAAGAGTGTTATTTAGAGACTGGCTTGCACTACGATCTTCCTGAGGGACGCAGCCTCGAGGAAGAGAAGGCGAGTCTTGCGCAAGACGTGGAGACATTTGTCGCGAAGTATGGTCTCGATCGCATCATCGATATGCCCAAGCTCGACGGCATGCAGTTCCAATTCGCAACGAATCAGGGTGAAGAGGATGCTTTTGGCGGCAACCAAGAGTATAGGCATCGCTTGTGCAATCCGTTGTGGAGGTGGGCGACGAAAAAGATGGAGGAGAGATGGGGAGCTGACAAGTTTTTCGTCACGACTACGATGCCGGAGGACTATCATCATGTGAACAGGCCGTATGTCGGGTGGTGAGCTTACTTAGACTCCTTAACATTTCGTCTCGTAATTGTATCGCATATCTCACCACTCTTCACAAAATCAAACTTCTTGCAGCTGCTCGTCACACCCACCTGGATTGGACTCGGCGTCTGCACTTCACTCGGCGCCTTCGAGGACCCATGTATCTGAAGGATCCATGCAGGGTTTCGCGCATGCCTCAAGAGGTAATTGGCGATTGCAGGGGTCAAATCTTGACAACAGTGCATGATTGTAATCTTTGAGTTATTGACAACGGTCGGTTCCAAGACCTATGATAACAGCTCCCATAATTCCTGGCCCTGAGGCGTAGATGCCTTCCCAATCACATAGTAGTCAAGGATATCTCTGACACTGCTCTGAAAGCACTTAGTCGGAAGTGTCCATCAATTCATCCTTCGCATACTCAGTCTCTTTCCCGTTGTTCTGTTCCGCCCTCAAACGGTACTGTTCAGGAGCCACCACCCACGGACTAAGTTTCCGATTGATAGGATATTTCGTACAAGAACGAATGAAGCCTCTCACCAAGTCGTCCACAAACTCCACGCTGGTTTCCTCTATAAGACTTCCTGTAATCATCCAGTCTTCATCACAACCGTATACAAACATATCAACCATAAGTCGGCGTGCTGGAGAGCTTGCACTACTGGTACCCGAATAGATGATGTTGATAGCGCTTTCTGGAGGAAAGGAGTCCCTTTCTACTGCATGGTCGATCATAGCGGAAAGAACAGCGTTCTGGAAGGTCTCGTCAACGAGTCTTTCGCCTAAAACGTACAAACGAGCAAGTTGGATGTGTCTGCCCACAAGAGGCCGAGTGACAACGACCTTTCTGCTGTAGAGCCAGTTGACGTAAGATTCAAAATCTTCTGGTTCTTCGTCCGCCAGGTCAATTTGTTTCTTTGCGTTGGCGCGCCATCTTCGCTTCATGGCGTTTTTGAAGAAATCAGATGTCGCCGTCAGTGTACCGATGTGGATGTGGAACTTCTTTCTGCCCACTTTGATAGGGATTGGCGCGCCTGAGACACTAGGAGAAGTCAGTAGGGCCCAATTCATTATAAGTAATAGTTGCTTACTCTGGAGATGGTGCAGTTGTGTCGTCGTTAACATGGTTCCGGGTTTTCGCGCGTAGTGACATAATGTACACAGGCGAAGTATGGTTGAATAGCTTGACAAGGTCGGTTTGATGGTGATGATAGTGAGGTTGAGAGTGTGGAGCGGGACTTCCGGGTCGTTAATAAGGAGCTTCCACACAGAGGGTGAATCTCAGGGTAGCATTTGCTGACAAAGTGACAACCTGAGCGCGGCGCTTGCCCAAAGAGAATACTGCGTGAAATGAAAAATCAATTCCCCGAATGTCTTGGTCTCAATACCATTGAAAACTACGAAACTCCCCCTGTTTGGTTACATGTGCTTCCACAGATCGTCTTCACTTTTCGGTGTGAATTACAAACGAGATTTCGGGTTTTCGCTGTACCTCATAGTGATCAACAGCGAGGCGAAAGAGACTGCAATCAGTGTAATTGTTACTGGTACAGAGAAGTTAAATACAATGTTGACATGGCTGATGGTACACAACATACCAAAGGCGTCCACGGGTATCAAGATATCAATCAGTCTGCCTCTCCGAAGTCGCTATGTCCCGTTTCGGCTGCGTGCTGCATCGCGCCCCGTTCTCCTGCCCCTTTCCAACCGCACGTGTTGCACTTGAGATCGAACTTCTGTGTATCGGTGTAATAGTGGGCTTTCTTCAGCTGCCCGCAAAGTTCCCTCGCAGCTTCAAGAATCACGTCGTCTGCCGCATCGAATATCTTAACATCTTGCGAAGGATCTTGCGTGGACGCACCCTGGGGCACGAAGGCGATCGTGTCGTAATGGATACCAGAATACACCACGATACAGCGCCTCGGTCTGCCCTCGTTGAATCGGTCCACCCGGTTGTCCTGAACATTGACACTGGCGATCTCGATGTCAAACTCTTGGGAAAGGATGCTGAGTTCGATGCCACCACCCCACGAGTCGGCATACGATATCCATTTGCAGTACTCATCTGGAGAGCGTTGCAGAATCGCCTCGTTGTACTGTTCCGGGTCTCTTTGAATAGCTTGCGCAACCATCGATCGAAGCTCGGTCATGGAATCGAGAGAATCTGTCAGGACTGCGCTACCAACAGCTCGAAACATGCAGGAGTTGTCGTCAGGCATGACCCGAAGGACCATAGTGCCACCGCGGTCAGGCACGGGAACCTCGGGTGTTTCCTTGAGCGCCGAGTTCTGCTTCCGTTGAAGGGATAGTGGCGCCGCCTGTGATGTGTTTGCCTGTAGTTCTTGCTCCTGCTTCCGTTCGCTCGGGTCGCCCGTAGCTTGTGCAATGACTATGATGGATGCGCCGTTCAGCTTGAGATCGATATCCTTCAGCAACGTCGACATGCCGTATAGGGAAGGGTCGAGCGGTTGAGGCGGGTGGTTCCATTTCAGCTCGAAGAGTGGTAGTTCTGTCTTCTCGCTGATAGAGGACAGAAGGTCCGAGACGGCGGCGTTGTCGTCGAGTGATAGTGTGTGGGTGCCATTCGGCGCGCGTAACCGGATGCGAATCGGCATGGTTTGATGGGTCGGCTGGAGAGATGGAGGGATATACGTGTTCGGAGGGATACAGGTGAGGGAGCTTCGAAGGCGTGGCGCGTGATGACAGTTGACTGGTGGGGCGACTTAGCGGTGGAGAGCTGCGCTGGTATTAGGGAAGCTGCGATGAGTGAGTTGGTATGAAGAGAGGTAAATCTTCACGAATGCGCAAATATGAGGAGAGCTTTGTTAGGAAGAAAGGATCGTTTGTCAGCTACGGGAGAACGCTACAAAGACGACAGTTTGCACGGATCGGGTGACATGGCTGGCGTACGTGAAGGTTCCCGAATCATGGAGGAGGCCGGCCGTCCCCGGGGATCGGCGAATCTTACCTCCGTCCGGCGTCGCGACTTCCAGCGTCCAGGACGCGACACGCCAACACCTAGCGCAAGAGGGATACCGGAACACGACAGCATCGAGTCGACTATCGCAGACATGGCGACCGGACGCGCCCCAAGCTCGACACCGGTGCCCACGACCGAGACGGCTGAGTCCGCCGGCGCAACGTCTACCGTCACGGCGCCAGAATGGGAGGCCATGGCCAACCTCCTCAAGAATGTATACGACTACAGGATCGACGAGTAAGTTTCGACTTTATATGCACCATGCTGCTCCCAGCTGATCAAAGTGCAGTGGAACATACGATCCTACCAAGCTCTTCCAGCGCAAAGTGAACAAGCGCGCCGTGCCCGACTACTACGATATCATCAAGGAGCCCATGGCCCTGAGTACGATAAAGGCCAAGATTGCGCAGCGAGAATACAAGAACTTTTCCGAGTTCGTACGCGACCTGGCGCTCATTCCCCACAATGCGCAGGTGTACAACAGGCAGGACTCGCAGGCATATGTCGATGCGCTCGAAGTAAAGAAGGTCATCGAACGCGAGCTGAAGAGGCTAGTCGACGACAAGATCGTTCCTGAGACAGTCGCCACCCTGCCGTTCTTGGGAGAGATTCCCGAACAAGACCCGCTGTTACCAGAGGAGGAAGAAGAGGAAGAGGAAGATGACGATGAGGAAGAACTCGAAGTGGACGAGGAAGAGGATGAGGACGAAGAAGATGAGGGCAAGCGCAAGAGGCGCCGCGGACCGCGTTCCACAGCAGCTATCACCAAGCGTGAAGGCGGTTCAAGAGCAGCAAAGGAAGACGCCAAGGCCGACGATCCAGAATCGCGGAAGAAGCGCGGACGACCGCCGCGGGTCGACACTCCTATGGAAGCGCGAATCAAGACCATTATGAAAGCAATCAGGAAACCGCGGAACCAACTCAACAAGCTCATGGTGAGCGCATTCGAGCGCGTCCCGGACAAGACAGTCATGCCCGAGTATCACTCTGAGATCAAGAATCCAATGGCCATGGACATCCTCAAGCGCAAGCTCAAGCGAAAGAAGTACAACTCCGTCGATCACTTCATGGTGGATGTAGAGCTCATGTTCGAAAACGCGAAGCAGTACAACGAAGAGGACAGCCAGATCTACAAGGACGCCGTGCATCTCCAAAAGGAATCGCGCAAGGTTGCAAAGGCCGAGAAGGAAAAGCCAGATACTGAATACGTCATGGAAGAAGGTCGCATCCCTATGCCCAGCGGCATCGTTCACAACGGAGAGCTATGGAAGGTCGGCGATTGGGTGCACATTCAGAACGCGAACGACCTTACAAAGCCGATTGTTGCCCAGATCTACCGCACTTGGCAAGACGCGAACGGTGGACAATGGGTGAATGCCTGCTGGTACTACCGCCCAGAGCAGACCGTGCACCGTTTTGACCGACACTTTTTCGAGAACGAAGTTGTCAAGACTGGCCAATATCGAGATCACCGCATCGACGAGGTCGTGGACCGATGTTTCGTTATGTTCATCACCCGTTACAACAAGGGCCGTCCCCGCGACTTTCCTTCTGATAAAGAGATCTATGTCTGCGAGGCTCGATACAACGAAGAGAACCACAAGCTCAACAAGATCAAGACATGGGCCAGTTGCTTACCCGACGAAGTGCGAGACAAGGACTACGTAATGGATCTCTTCGATGCGCCTCGAAAGTTGAAGAAGGTGCCCAGTCCGATCGCGTACCTGCTCAAGGACGAGCAAAAGGAGGACGACGATCTTCCAAAGCCAGAGTGGGGAGCTGAGAATGCTCCCCCAAAGATTGGCGCCGTGCATCGTCGTCCGCGTGACCCCAAGGTAAGTGAAACCCGCTTTAGGCCACCATGAGACCCAAAGCTGACATTTCTTGTAGGATTCACCACCTCCCGAGCCCACCCCACCGCCACCTCCGACACCTCCACCAGCACCCGCTATGCCTACTCCAAGCTTACCCACGGCTTCTTCACATGGCTACGACTCCTCGAGGAACTATCCGATTGCGCAAGCGCCGACTCTGACGCCAATGCCTGCCCCTACACCGCAACAGCACCATGTCGCGCCAGCGTACACACCAACCCATGCGACACATTACCATACGCATTCTCAGTCGCCCGCCCCTCATATGCACCCGCAGGCACCGCAAGCACCTGCCTATCAACCTATCACACCACATGTGCCCTTTACACCCCAGCCAGCTGCGCCCATGCAGGGTTTCCAGACACCGCGGGCCGCGCCAGGCTACCAACAACCGTATCCACAGCAACTGCCGCTTAACTACAAGGCCCCGCAGCCGGTGGAGGTCTACGTCATGGCCGACCATGCAAACGCCAGTATACCGCTTGAGATCCGCGAGCAATTCCAGCGTGACGAAAAGGGCCGTATCTTGTTCTTCACCGCGCCGCCGCTCAACGTGGAACAGCCGCTGACTAAGGATGGGCGCGCATTGGGACACTCGGCTCGTTATCTCGCTGCCAAGGCAAAGAAGGAAGCTCTGAAGGCCTCAAAGCGCAAAGCTGGCGAGGCGAATGTCGATGAGCGTGACCAGGCAGCGAAAAAAGCCAAGGCTGATGAGGAGGCAAAGTTCAAGAAAGCTGTCTCGGAGCTCGGTACGAAAGCACTAAAGGCATTGGAGGACCAGCTCGCCATCGCTACAAAGACGGATTTGGAGGGTCTTTTCAACGGCCAGACTGAAGAAGGCATCTCCGCGGTTCTGGATCAGCTCACCACCGCGCAGAAGATGGCTGTGCAGCGCGAATTGGAGCGTGAGATACACATCAAGGAGCGCGAGGAAAGTAGGATGACAGCAGTCACCGGTATGACGGCGAGATTGGAGGAGAAGTACTAAGGTACTATGTACGATCCATTGTATTTGTGATATCCAGTGTAAGGTTACAAAGAGACCACGGCGTTTTGATGCTTGATAGTGGTTCTGGCTCCACACGAGTATATTCTGGGTATGCTTTGCTAAACTCAATTGGAACTTTTTTCTATCTGGGCCATCATCACCTGGGCACCTGTGAGTCCTCATAGCTCCCGTCCGTATAATTTCTTCACTCACTTCCGTCATAACAGAGGGGCCTGAATCTTTGAAGAGCGCATTGCTTTTATGTTGAGGCTCGACTAATTGAGAAACCTCGGGAATGCCGATTGCTCACTCGTTGTAGTACCTAAAACGGACACATGAAGCCGGTATTCTACCTCCTTGAGTCTGAATACCTTACTTACCCATGGCGCATCATCTCTTGCAATACATGCTGGTTCTTCAAGCCCAAAATCATTTTAACCTCATGTCCGACGTCGCTGCTTTGTCAGCCCGAGAGTCTTCTACATCAACGAAACCAATACCGCAAGCCGGTCTAGTTCTCGTCGCTCAGATTCCTCCTTCCTCTGATCCATGGCTTGCCTAAGCAGGAAACGACACTTGCCATATTGTCCTGATTCCGCAGCCGCTAGTGCGGATTTGCCGTCCTTTCCAACAGAATTGGGGTCTGCGCCGTGATCAAGCAGGAACTCGACGTCTTTCGCGAAGCCATCCTTCGCCGCCTGCCATAAGACATTGCTTCCATCGGGTGTGATAGCGTCGACGACTGCACCACTCTTGATAAGCATGCGTGCAATGTCGTATCGCCTTCTCTTCAGAGCGTGCTGGAGTGGGGTTTTGTCCGAGCAGAGTTCGTTTGGTCCGACGACGCCATCTTTCAGCAATATTCTCCAGAATACGATCCCACCTCTTTTGTACAGTATTTCCATAGAGATAGAATCAATACGGTAGTGTGTCTTACTTCCTTCCTTGACATGCGCTACAGCCCCAGGGTTGTCGACTCCTAAGACGCGGTACAATACGGCCGTGTTGGTACTGTCAATAGCACAGTAGAGGAGCCGGTCACTAAAGGACCAAGACATAGATCTAGCGAAGGGCTCGTTCGCATCGCGGAAGTCAAACAGCGTGCTTGCTGCGACATTCTTATGCAAACGCACAGCCATGCACAAAGCTTCGCCAATCTGCCGAGCAGCACTTCGCATATCCTTCCACGTCTTAGCTTCGGGCTTGCCCTTGACGTTGTCAACGATATACTTGAGGATCTTTCGAAGCATAGCATCCTGATCCGCCACGATGGCGGCTTTGAGCGCGCTCGGCAAAAGAGCGTGACTTTGTTCGAGGAGCAGAGCTGGTGTGAGAGTGAGCGTTTCGAAGAGCCTCATATTTCCTGTTGCAGCAGCGATAAAGGGTATCATGTCCGCGAGGTTATATGGCCGCCCTCCTTTGTTGGCCTTCTCGGTACCCTTGATGTAACCGTGCAGGGCTTTTGATTCGAGGGCCATCATGCTAGTGCATACGATCATGATTGCCGCTGGGTAAAGTGTGGGATCTGGTTTGGACGCTTTGACCATGGCCCGTATGAAGTGGATGACTTGGTTTGGTGCTGTTTGGCGTCGCATAGTAGCCTTGTAGAGGATTTCAACCCGATACGTGTCGAAAAGACGGGCGGAGAAGGGGTTTTCCAGGAACTTGGCGAGGTTCCTAGAAGCAGCGACTGTAACGGTATGATCCTTGATTGTGTTTGCGAATGTTCCTGTTGTTTCTCAGTATACACGTGCACAAGGCCTCTGATTTGCACTTACTGCAGACGAGTCGATAACGTACGACAATTCCCCGGCCGACCTTGTTTGCCAGCGCCGCTATGACTTCCTCAAAAATCTCTATGGGTAGATTCAATAGCGGCATGTTGAGGTTCCCTCTCAGGGTTGCCGGTCGTGATGTGTAATGATCTGATTGGTGTTGGTCTGGTGCAGGATACTTCTTGTGGTATCAAAGAAGACAATAGCTTTAGCAAGACGGGGAGCGCGTGGACAGTGGGTCACAATCCGCCTTCACCTTGGGGCCGGCCTCTCACTTGATGAGTCGGCTAACAATCACACAAATGCGGCAGGTGCATGAATGACTGAAGGTGGCTTTCTCGATCGGATCGATGTAGTATACGATCCAACTCACTCTGTTCTACAGGCTTAGCAAACCTAGAGAGACGTCTAGGTACAAATTGTGCTGCTCGCATGATCATGTCCTGACGATGGTTTGTAGTCTCCTCAACGTCGTGTGATGTCATGGCAAACATCGACAGCACGTCAGCTGCCTATAGGCTCAACCTATTAATATGAGCGTATTCTTGTCAATGTGCATGCACGACGACCCGTATCACTTGTGAGATTTTTGAAACGCCACCACCTGCTCATTACCATTTTCTGCTTGCCAACCCGATGGCCGGAGATAGTCCAAACCTCATGTTTACACCTTCCAGGGCGGGTAACAATCCATACAATCCAGAGTGAGTTGAGCAGAACTAGCTCGCATCGTTTACTGACCATCAATAGCCCCACCAGCGATACCATTACTGTGAAAGTGGGGATGCCGAATTTCAACGATGGAAAGGACATCTTTACTGTTCAGAAATCCGTCCTTTACAACGATGATCAGTTCCGTGGTGGGTGTTGGATCAATAGCGACAGGACGGTACATCTCAGAGCAAAACCCGAAGACTTCAAGACCTACATGACATGGCTGTACACCCGCCGGCTGCCGGAGCATATTGCGGACCCAAAACCCAAAGCTGGATACCGAGTCGAACCTGGACTGGCTGCCGACTTCATATGATCTCGCGCGTAAAGTTGGTGATCCACGTTATCAAGACGTTCTGATCAGTCGGATGATCGAGTGCGCGCGAAGGATCGAAAGCTTCCTAAATATATCGTTCGTCGCAAGCTTATATGACGTGACAGAGGGTCTTGCGCATGCGCCGGACATCCTTGGTCGAGATTTGATGATAGATATCTGGACGTGGAAATGCCGACCTGAATGGCAGGGCCTAGACTTTCTCGAGACAGCTTACGAGTTCGCGGGGGATCTGATTTCAGCGTTAATTGCTCATCGCAATACATCACCAGAGGAGTTGGTGGAGCCATGGGCGAGCTCCCAGGCTGACCGGTATCTAGTTGGAGCAACTGAAGACGAATGATGGTGAGAAGGCATTTTGTTAGAATAAGCTGCAACTTGGGGCGATTTCTTACAAGACCAGTGCGAAAATAAAAATGCAGCAGCTTACATCCTTCACAGGAGGTTGCTTCGGTTGGAGAGCACTATGACGTGCAGTAGCGGCTCGGCAAACGCGTGAAGACGCGTCATCCCGCGATTACCATGCCGGGCTTCCATTCACCCACTTCAACGCGTATGGTTCCGCGCATGAAGAGTCATATTTGCACCACTTGATGCTTCGCAAATGTCGCGATGTGAAATCTCTAATCCACTATGGCCTTAGTGCTCACATGGCGCAATCATAACGACCAGCATCGCTATTCCCACTCGAGGACCCTGCCGAACTCACAATACATGCGCCGGCCACTCCTTCGATCTTTCGGATGGCAGGATGCCGCAGAATCGTTCGGACATGTCGGCGTCCTACCAATCTACTGCATCAAGCCTAGCAATACTGGCTCGCGAAGTTAGACAAGGGATGTGCAGTACTTCTAGCCTACGGCGGAGTTGCTGAAGTGGTGTTGTAACACGAGACGGATACTGGCTCGCAGCGACCATGGTACGCTTGCGCAACATTATGTCCACAATTCTGTCACCTGGAAACCGTGTTGTGAACACCCCAGGCAAGAACTCATCGTACGCGTTTCCAGGTAGGATGGCTTCCCCTCCAAAACGCCCAAAAAGAGCTAATGTTCATAGTGGTCCTGAGTGAGTCTATAAAACTCTGGTAATGGCGTTAACTTACAAAAACTAGCTTCACGGGCACAACAATCGCCGTCCGAGTCGAGGATGAAAAATTTCAGGTTCACCAGAAGCTTGCGTGTTCGACCTCGGACTTCTTCAAAAACGATGCCGGTATCGTCGCGATTGACGTCGAACAAAAACCAATCCGCATCGACGGTCATACTGCGGCCACCTTCAGAACATACCTCACTTGGCTGTACACGAAGCAGATGGAACATGTAACAGACATAAAGCATGTGTGGCAAACTTTAGTGAGGGCCTTCCTCATAGGGATCACGTTGCTCGATACCACGTTTCGTAATGCAGTCATAGCAAGCATGGCGCAGCGCGCGTGCGCCGGGAGATATCCAAGTCTCAGCATGGTGAAGGAAGTCTATATTGGCACGTCTAAGGGGGCTTCGATAAGGAATCTTCTGGTTGACATATGTGTTATAGCACGGCCAACTCTGTTGGACAAGCTATGCGACCCGGCAGCCGAAATGCACGGAGACTTCGTGAACGACCTACTATGGGCATTCTTCACGTCGCCCCAATCTCGTCCGGCAGACGAGAAGCCGTGGCTCACTGATCCACATCGCTATCTTGAAGCTGTCGGTTAGGCCATGGTGGCTATACCGTCCAATCTTTAGACGGGGATGACCGCCTTTCGCACTTCTTCCATTTCATGACCTATGCGTTGGTTAAAGTAGGCACACGCGTTATCTCATCACGTAGTCGATTTTACCATTTGGAAACTGCTGTGTGACGGCAGCGTTAATATTAATATCACGGTACATATCATGGTTCGATTCAGCGAAGGAGACCCAGGCACCGTATTGTTAGATGGAGACCAACACGTATCAAACACTATCAGCCATCGTATGCAGTTATGTAAAAACATGGCTACTAGTATAGGATAAGCTACCATTCGTCAATTGCAACGCTCGATCATGAACGTGTGATCCTAGCACACATGGTGATGCTACAGGCAATATGTTGAGTTATTGCGCCGCTCGATCGGCCTCTTCCAAAGCCTTGCCCGCGCTCATCTTGCCTAAATTCTCCACTTCCGGCATCAGCGGTGGGCTCGCATTTTCGACGCCATCGGTGTTTCCATCCCACTTCAAACGAACAAGAGCCATGCCCTCGGGATCATCAGCATCCTCTTTCTCTGCGACCAGGATGATGCTTCGGTGGACGGTAGGTCTGAAAGCACATTGTCGTGGATGTGCTCTGCGAATATCGGCCCAAGGATCGCTTGAAGAATGCCAGTTCCCGAGCATCTGGAAGCGAGACTCTTCTGTCTTCTTCATCTTGGCCCATGATGGCTCGAGCATGGAGCTGATGGGTACGGCTATGCAGAGTTAGCTAACGTGCAAAGTCTTGTACATGAGCACATGCGTTAGGTACCTTTTTTTACCAAGCTATACCACCCGTACACTTTCTTGGGCGACCCATCCGAAGTGGCAGGCCCCTGCGTTGCCTTGTCATCTTTGTCGTCATCATCCGCATACGGGTCATCCCCACCCCACTCCTCAGCCTCCAGTTCCTTCAGATCGAACCAATCTTGGTTACCGATATCGATATTGGAACCCCATGAATCCGCCTCGGCATTGCTGCAACGTCCAACGCCTGGAACGTCTTCCTCGTCTTGGCTCGAGTTGAGCAGAACGACTAAGACTCCTTTGTTGCCGAAGTCCTCTTGGTCGGCTACTATGAAGTAGAGCGGATGAATGGTATCGTCTTGGTCGCGTAGCTCGATGAAGTAGTCATAAACGTCTCGCAACGAGCGACCGCTGAAATCTGGCTGCGGAGCGAGTTTAGACATTCCCGTACTGAGCTCGCCCGTGTTGATGCTTTCTTCAAGCCGTTGGCTGTCTGCTGTGTCTAGAGCAGCTGTGTAGAAGATGGCAAACTTGAAACGATTCAGATCATCTAGCGTGGCGCGGTGAGATTCTGTATTGGGCGCTTTCTTAGGGAGGGTTTTCGCGAGGTCTTTTGTGGAAGACATGTTGTACTCAGTGGTCTGATCGAAGGCAAAGAGTTGGTTTAGATGAGGTAGATGGGTAGGTAGAAACCACGTCTCAGCCGTAGTTCCCAGGTGGGTCAGTTCAGGCAACCGCGAATGCGTAACGAGGAGTGCTATAGTGGGGCGAGCCTTGTGATCAGAGACGGCCCTGCGTACACTATTGTTGCTCAAATTTTAGCGTCGCAGCCGGGCGTAAGCTGATGATGGATACGATGAGAAGTCACAAGTGGGGCAGAGTCGCACGAAGCTTATGTGTGGTGCTGCACACTACCTAGGTATGATGTCACAGATTTGATTATTGGAGGGCTCACTGGCGGGCCGAGCCTTCCCGTTCATGTACAGCCTCTTAGTTCCCGCACGTCTTGACGGTAATGTACGACACCTTCGCTTTCTCTCGGCTTGCCCGGTGAGAATGTCTCAGTATGCTGACGACTTAGTGCTATAGTCGAAGGTTGTACCATTTGTAGACATGGTTTAGTAAACTACTGCTGACCTGTTAAGTTTATCAGCTCTACTAAATACCATGGAATGAAGGGCATTGGCCAATTTCAATCATGATCTCGATGACAAGGCAGATATATGCCGAAGCCCAGCTTATTCACAGCAACGATTCGGGTAATCGGCTTTCGCTTTGCCATACCGGTGAGATTAGGCGCGCCATCTTCGACCATCGTATACGGCAACTACAAGCAGATCAATTCGCGCCTCATCCTTCTAACTTCTACCCGAGGCGGCTCCAACTGCGGTTCTGGAGATCATTGGCAAGATTCTGAAACTAGTTCAAGAATTCGATCATACGATTGCATCGACTATGTTCAGCTGTGAGTACAGAAGAGGCCTCCCAATACTTGGGCAGGGTTGACATGGGCATGTAAATGGGGGCCACGACGAGTATATAGAAGGCAGTCTCGATAACATGTATTCTAAACAACAGCCGTCTTCAAACACTTGCATATCATACTACACAAGCCATCATGTTCAAGACTCTCCTGGTTTCTGGTCTGATAGCCTCCGGGCTCGCCGCACCCGGTATGATATTCAACTGTAACGACAACCTCCAAGGTAAATGTCCCTGAATCCTTGGAAGCGATTAATACTCAACTAGACTCAGATATCTGCAACAACATGTGCTGGGGCGCTTACTGCACTAGACCATCATTCGGAGTAACACTGGACTATGACCGCTATGGTGGTACTGGGAATCGTGACAGTGCTGTCGGAAGAGCCCGTCAAAGATCGGCTGGCTGTCTTCCGAGGCCCAACCGTTGCAGTGTAAGACTCCATCAACTTTCCAAAGGATTTGCTGACCCCCACATAGACGGCCGGTGGTAATCCGCGTGCTGGCGAGAACTGCGACGAGTATCCATTCGCCAGTACCTCTGATGCCGATGCGGGTGGTCAAGTCACCAAGTGTGTCATCAGTAGGCACAACAGCCGTTAGTCCTCACCTCCCCCAAAGACAACTATGCAAACGAGCTAATGGTTCTATCATAGGTCAAGGCCGTATCATCCAACAATACTACACCGGCACATGCAACAGCCAGCCCTGCCAGTTCATCGTGGGCTTCGGCAATCCGGCCGCAAATGGAGTGCAATACTGTCAAGCTTACAATGATCCTCATGGTCAGTGTATCAATAACCAGACTGCGCGAATCTACAAGAACGGCGCCCCAGATGTGCGTCCAGCAACGAAGAAGCGCTCTGAGCTTGAGTCTATCGCACAGGCTGCGCTCTTCCGAATGGCTAGTGGCATGGAAGTACTGTTGCGTAAGTCTTGTTTCTTTACTCCTTCAAGTGGATGTGTCCCCGTCGACTAGTGCTGACAATCGTATAGCAATCGACACTGTACTCAACAGCACTTGGGTCCACCCCACTCCTCGCAACATGACTATGAAAGCATGGGTCGAGGAAAACGACGAGGACGAAGACCACATTGCCTGGGACTTTGTCGAGGACTTTGTCGCTACTAGGCTTGACTAAAGCCGCTTTGACACTTTCCCACTGCTCAGCCTCGCAAAATTCCCCGTGTTCTCCGAAACACTGACTTCCATTGAAGCTTGGTACTGCATCAGATTATCGTCACTTATCCGATCCATCAACACGACTGCATATTAAAACTGAGCATCATGGCTAGGAGTACCTTTTCTTTCTTTCTCTATCTACCTAGGTATAGATCATTACTTTGTAGCAAGCAATCTACTATACCCAATTCGCGTGTGGCATGTCATCATCCTCTTCATCATCACTCTCAACACGGCCCTCCTCCCCAGACGGTTCAATCGACTGTGACTTTTTGATGGTACGGAATTTGACAACACGTTCTCTTTTGGGCGATAGAGTCTTCTTCTTCTCTTTCGTCGTAGTAGCTTTGGCCTTAGTGGTCCGATTTCCCTTAGCCTTAGTAGCCTGCTTTCTCTTCGTAGCTGATACAGCAGGTTCTGCTGTCGAGATACTCTCGGCGCTTTCCAACTCACTGTCGTCCGAGCCGTGAGCAGCCACATCCTCCTCCTTCTTGACCTTTCTGCCTTTGGTTCCGCTATTCTTTGCTACTCTGGCATTCTTTGTCTTCTTTATGTTGTTCTTTTGCTGTTGCTTGGCCCCTGTCGTGCTCTTGCCAGTAGTTCTAGGCTTCTTCACAAGAACACATAGAGCCCTAGCGCGTATCCCCTCCTTAGCTCCAGTGTTAGACCTTGGTTTAGGTGAAGGTGACTTTGACGTTCGCAGCGCTGCCTCCTCGGCGGCCCTCTTTCTAGCCGCAGCCTCTTGGGCTTTCCGCAAAGCATCCTCGTTAAGACTTTCGCGAACTCCTGCTCGTCTCTCTCGAGTAGAAGCCGCGGTGGCAACGATCTTTGGTGGCATAATGATGATTATCGACTGCTTGGGACTGGAATCAATGCAGCGGCTTGGTGGTGAGTTCGATTGGGTATCACAAAGTAATTGTGTTCCGAAGATTGGCGAATGACTTTGTGATTTTGAACCGTAGACGGGATACTAGGCGCGAACTAAATAGCCCTGTCTTGTGTCGACCGCCGCATGCGGCCGATATGGTCGCGAACAAAGCCATACCAAAGAACCACAGAGGTTGAAGTAGATCCACTAAGTGATTATGGCGAAGATGCTTTGTTCCGAGACGTCAAAGATCGAGGACACTGTTGCGAGTTAAAAGTCAAGTACCGTGAGGGCCGACTGCTTTGCCTTTGTCTGTGAGTTAGAGGGTCTTGGGTACACCCAACCGTCCCACATAGACGCGCAGAGTCAAGCCAGCTGCCATTAAAACAGATAGGTATTGAGGGTATACTACCAAATGAAGATACATGTTATGACACTTCGTGTGCCTTCGCCTGCCATGATCGTGATCGTAACAGCCTTGCAAACACCAAAAACGCGCGTAGCCCCAACAAACGCCAACAATACCGCAAGTCGTACGCTCATGTAATGATATGCTAAATACTCGCAATGCAAAGCGAGACTAACCGGCAAATGCAAATCGCTTAAGGTTAAACAACGGTTTTCGGGGTGAGCACTCGCTCTCGGCTTCGCTATCCGGAACAAGGAGGTCTTCGCTCCCCTTGAGTGATGATCTCCTCCTCTTCGCAGGCGTCATAGGAGGCGGTGAACTCGCGGCTATGACTACCTCGGCCTCTACAGCCGCCCAAGCAGAGACTGCAAGTTTCACGTCTATATCTTTCTTGGACGGTGTTCCGGGGATAATGGATTCCTCATCGGGCGCCGAAAAGGTTGTAAGAGCGGAAGCTTGAGATGGTGGTGTAGGTTGCCATGCCTCAGTGGGCCGACGGTTAAGACGACTCTTACTAGCTCTTGGTATACCCGGTGCTGGTGAGGGAGACTTGTATGTGAACTTTGATCGCAGCTCACTCATTGTGGATGCGATTGCAGCGCTGAAGGCCGTCTCGGGCTCGGGGGAGGTTGCCGGCGTGAGAGTGCCGATAGTATCTTGTGACTGCGCAGTGCTGCCCCTGGAGAAGACGGTCGACTGTGATTCGCTCCTAAAGCTGGACTGTGTATCACTGAAGACCCGTAGCTTCTTCTTAGAGGCAGACGCCGCTTGCTCTAAATCAGCCACTTCGGCCATAACCTCCTGTATTGAGTCATCCGAATAGAGCTCGAAGTCCTGGTCGGTCTTCCTCCTCCTACTTTTCTCTCGGTGTAAGGTTGGGCTTGGTTCTGGTATAGAAGGTGCGAAAAATTGGCTCCGCACAACACCCTCGTCGCCAGCGGCGAGTGTCTCGGAAACAGAATCGGAGCACAGTCGTTGTCTCTTAGAAGGATGCGGAACCGAACGTCTACCCGCAGTTGGATCAGTCATGGTGCGTCGTGGTGGTTGAGGCGCCGTACTAGGCGTAGGAGGGTTTGGCCGTAAACGTGAAATCGGAGCAGGCACTGCAGCCCATCCATTAGACTCTCTCTGTTGTTCCAGCAATACTTGCTGACTGGGTGAGGGTGTGAAAACATTGGGCGACAACTCGGCCAATGGCGTACGCTTAGGCTTGAAGAACGAATCAATCGGCTTTGAGCCTTTCGCGTCGGGTGTCTGAACAATTGTCGAGGCTCTCCGAGAGGGACCAAACGATTTGCCGCTAGGCCTACTGTTGCTGATGATGCTCATCGGAAGTTTTGTGCGTGGGTATAGGTCACCACTTGCAACACCCATGGCGAGGTGTGCAGGTACCTCCTCTCCAATGTAGGGCATATCAGCAAGATCGACCCCTTCATCGAGTGGCGTAAGATTGACCAGCTGCTTGGCGACCGGACAGTAGACCCATTGGTAAAGGAAGGTTTTCTCGGCCTGATCAAACAATTCCAAGAAACCAGCGGGCACCTTGAGCTTGCCGTCGTATTGCGCAGCTTTGACAAGACGGTCGACAGTCTTGTGTTTCCGCAACATTCGATGGGCAGTCTTCAGGCCAAGTCCACCGATACCTGAGAGATAATCGCAACCGCTGAGGATGCACATTCTTCGAAAGTCGGCGTCAGACCATCCCACGAAGCTGACTTCCCTACAGGCTGTGAAGTGATTCCGGTTGATCTCGATGCATTCTCCGTATTTGTCCAGCTTTGTTATCAGGCACTTGACGCCGAAGACGAGTAGATCGGAGTCTTCGGACAAGACCCCATGGATTATGCCCTTCCGCTCCAGGTATGCAAGCTGCGAATCAGCTTCGTAAGGCGCGACGACGTACTCGATGTTGTGCTGCTTCAGTTCTTCGATGACCATCCGCGCCATTTCCGGTGTCACGTCCACGCTCTTCTGCAATTCCTGTTGCGCCTGTGCTGTCTTTCCGACCTTGAGGAGCTCCAGCCCGAGCCTCTTGCCCTCCTTTCTTCGTTCTCTTCGATCTTTCTCCGTGCCAGCTTTGCTCGGTAAGTTGTCTCCGTCGAATACAAGGTAGGGGGTGACGCCGAAGTGGATGAGCATGCGGACGCGGTGCATGACAAAGTCGACATATCTAAGGATGAAGGTTAGTAAGCACTCGTCATCCATGGATGCATCAACGCATACTTGGTCGTCGGCTTCTCGAGCGCCAGGTCAATCGCACAGGTCGCGGTAGCGCGGTGGAGCCAGCCATACGTGTCGACGCCTATCGTCTTGCCGGCGTATTTCTTGAGAGTACATGGTTGCTGAACCGACTTGAGCAGCGGAAGGAGGCCTGTTCGACTGTCAGTATTGTAGACGGGATGATTGGGTGTACCAACCTGAGATGCCCATCTTGTACCCTTTGCCGCTCACGCGTCCGTCCTATACAACGGGCAGAGAAGCAACAGCTACCGCAACATGGTGGTTTCGCAGTCTGGTGACGAGAGGAGAAACGCCCTTATGCACTGCGAATCAAGCGAAAAAGAAAAGGGAGCGCGTTCACATCGATAGTGTGGAGCAGTCATTGATCGCGGGTACACGAGATGACAGGAACGCGCCCCGCTAACATATGCACTAGTCCGTGTCCGACGGCTAGCGTGGTCGCGATCGCCGAGCGCCGATGGATGTCCAAAATTTCTTGCGCAGACACCAACACCAAACAAAACGTCAAACTTTCAAAATGGTCAGCAATCGTCTCGACAAGGTGCACAAGAAGATTACGAAGAAGAAGGGAAAGAATCCCAACCTGCACGAGGGCAGCCGAGATACCAAGCGGCTACAGAGCGCAGCGCAGAGAGACGAAAAGCTCAATCGCGTTTTCAGACAACGAAAAGATCAAAATCGAACATACGGTATGCGTTATGTTTGCAATAGATTGACTGTATTATCGCTAACTAGTGATAGTTAATAGAGTCAAATCATTCCAATCATATACCGCAGAGCATGTTGCATCACTCAGCGTACCGGAGATCCAGGCCATGATTGAGGATTACTTGGGTCGCGATGACGAAGAGCTGGCCCAACTGAAAGCAGCTCGTCGTCCGGGACGACCAGCAAGCACGCGTCAAAATTTGTTGGAGATCCACCAGAACACCGAGCGAGACGAGTATGCCGCTGGCTTCTGGGTACCGGACCTTGAGGACGAACTCAACCTGAAGAAGCTGAAAGACTGGAACGGCGAGTGGGCTCAGCTGGCCACGCTCAAGTTTTCCAGAATCTCAAAGGAGGGTTTCAAGAAGGAGTCTAGCTTCCCGCCCAAGGGCATGTCATGAGCGAATGAGAAATGCATGGATCGGAGTAATTGAAGGATTCGGGCGTTTGGGAGCAAGTTACAACAGAATCGACGTGGACTTAGCGCTACGTCGTAGATATACCCAGAAAAGTGTAATTTACCATACGACGGCTTACAACATACGCAACATTTTCTTAGCCACTTGTTTCAGGATCGAACTTGAAGTATCAGGAAAGGGAGCCTGGTTATCTACTTGTACTGTTGGAACGCAACATGCCAAACCTTCATCCCCTTCGGCCCGCCCCTCAGATGCGGGATAAGCTTCCCGAAATCCTCAGTCTTGCGGAATTCCATATGCGCATCTACACTTGGCCATCCAATGAACGCCGCAAACAGCTTTCCATCAACACCCTCATCCAGACTCTCATGCTTCTGCGGTTCAACACTCCATCCACCAATCACTCCTTTGGCCTCAACATTAGGTATCTCAGTTGCCATGGTGCGGAAAGTAGAGAACTGAGAGCTATATTCCTCTTGATTGTAGTCGGGGGCGAAGAAGGCGTTTATGCACTCGGTTACGGGCATGGTGAATGGGTTATCGCTTCCAGACTGCGAAGTGGGAAAGTTGACGTGGAAGATTGTTGGGTCGTCGCCAGATGCAAGCTTGTCCATGATGGTTGCTAGGAAAGGCTGGTAACCTGGGGTCTTTTCGAATGTTCTATGGTCCTCGATAGATTCCCATTCTACATTCGGTCAGCGAAAGTGCAAAGTGACACCACTTGCGCAGCGATCTATCGAATAAGACATGAAAGGTCACGTACCCACGGCCATTTGCACGGTGTCTGGGTTCTCGATCTGTCGGCCCCAGTACAATGCTTTGGCACCGGGCTGTTTGGCAATAGTGCTGAGTGTTGACTCCCATGTTTCTTTCGCTTCGTCCGTTGAGAGATCGAGGCCGGGTTTCATGGGTATGTACACAATCTCGGTAGCCTTTTCCGACATTTTGGGTATGTAATTTGTATGGATGTTGTGGTTAGTGGTTTGAGTGGTGAGGATTGAACTAGAGGAGGTAGGATAATAGTAAGAAGTCAGACAATGAGGCAATGAAGAAGTAGAGCTATGGTGTTGTTCTGTCGCATCTTGCTACATGCATACGATGAGCTGTTTGCCCCACACCAAGCTTGACGTAGGGAAGGGCCGAAAGTGGGGTAACAAAGTGGAACCAGACACGATCGAGGCCCTTCCGATATTCCACCCAATCCTTCCGCGTCCTGAGATTCATATACAACTGACATGGTAGCAACCCGAGAGCTTGCAGCAGCATTTGGTAAGCGAACCTAGGTATCGCAACTTGACCTCCAACCTTATCCACGCCCAAGTACTTTCCATCCCACACCCAGATTGCTTCTCAGTTCCAGCCATGCTTGTTATAACAGCTCCCCAAGGTATCAACACTACCATCACACCAGAAGAAGAGCTCCTCTCAACCCTGCGCAGTCCCGTCATCTTCGTACACATGTGTCGCCTCCGCCTTTCAATTTTTGCGCACAGGTGACACATGCTTTGGTACCGCAACCGAAACATTGCCTTGAGAACTCGTCGAGTATTCGAATACAGAATGCGCAAGTATGCTGGCCTTCAACCCTAATCCACAACGTATCATGGTCACAGTTGGATCTCCTCGCTCGTGATCGTTCTGCTGCTGTGGCCTCATACTGCTTTGCTGCATGTTCCTTTGCCGCGCGCTTCCTCGATTCCTCTTGTCTTGCACGGTGAGCTGCTTCTTGCCTCGCACGATGCTCTGCTTTCCGTCTTGCACGAAGCTCCGCTTGCTCTCTCGTACGACGTTCTGCTTCCTCTCTCGCACGATGCTTTTCTTCTTGTCTCGCATACTCCTCTGCTTCTTTTCTCGCCCAATACTCTGCTTCCTCTCTCATGCGACGCTCTTCTTTCTGTGTCGCCCAATACTCTGCTTCCTCTCTCGCATACTCCTCTGCTTCTCTTGCTGCTTTCTTTGCTGCCTCCCATCCTGCTTTTTGTTCTGCTGCCTGTCTTGCTTTTTGTTCTGCTTCTCGCTTCGCTTTCTTTCGTGCTTTTCGGGACTCCTTTTCAGCACGTTGTTCAGCCTCCCATGCTTGTCTTGTCTGTTCCCACTGTCGGGCCTGTTCAGCCTTTTCTTTCGCAAGTCGTTCTTTCCTCGCCTTCTCAGCCAGCTCAGCCACAAGCCTTTCGCCTTCTTGATTTTTTCGTTTCGTGAGGTCATCGTTCAGCTGTTCGAGCCGTACCCTTGCTTCGTCTAGGCGTATCTGCTTGATCCGAATGACGTTCTCCGCGTTGATTGTGGCTAACGTGATGTCGCTCTTCTCTTGTTCACTCAGTCTGTTGCTCAAGAAGGCCAATGTGCCCGCTTCCGACTGATTGTCGTTTGCTAGCTTTGCTCGATTCTCAAAAACATTCCTGTTCAGGCACTCGAGTTCGGCTTCAAGAGACTTGACAGTGTTACGACATTGACGAATCTGCTCTTTCTGAGATCTCTCATAGTTGAGCCACTCTTGTCGTATCCGGTTGTTCTCTGCTTGTGCACGCGCTTCCCTTTGCGCTGGTGTCTCGTTTTGCGGGTGCGGCTGAGGGTTTGGCTGTGATGTGGCTGGAGATGGAGCGTAAGGTTGACTGCCTGAGGATGAAGCAGTTCGTTGTTGACGGCTGCGATCGTATTCGCTCCTCTTAGTCGCATCTTTGAGTACTTCCCATGCTGCGTTGATCTGTGCCCGACGTTAGTACGGCTCACTCGTCAAAGCACGGTGGCCTCTCCGCACAAGCTGAATCGTCGCGGTCGCATGTTGAGATCCGATGTTCTTGTCCGGGTGATGCAATAGTGCGAGGCGGCGGTATGACGTCTTGATCTCGCCGTACAGCGCAGAAGGTCGCACCCCCAAGGTGACGTAGTAGTCTTGCGTGGGAAGTGCGGGAGCCATCTCCGTGCGGACTACCTAAACAGGTGCTGCTGGGAACGTCGCGTGACCTATAGGTGCTGCATTCGAACGGAAGGACGTTCGAATGTACAAGCGGTATTAGCAAGATGCAGGAGTTTGTGTTGTCACAATCTCGACAGTTTGAGAGCACGGCAGTTGCAGCAGCAAAGCTGTGTTCCGGTTCTGGACGCGCTGTGGGGTTCGCGACGCGTTTACAGACCGCCAAGGAAAGAGAGAGCAAGAGTGAAAGTGACCGCGGGAGAGTGGGAAGGAGTCACCGTCAGTCAGTGAGCTAATCAAGGCCAATCAATATTCACGCTTCCCCATGCTCTATCTATGCAAGATGTATTACATTTTCCTTTTCGATCCCCCATGCATGCAATCGCTATCCAAACGTCCCAAATAACAAGTACGCTTAATCATACACAATCATAATCCAACACCGATATCGACAGAATGTACTACTCAATTGACCTTTGTGACCTTGATCCCACGGTCGAGAAGGGCATTCTTAAGACCCTTAGCGACCTGCTTCCTTGTCCTGGCGGTCTGTCGCAAGCTATCAATATTGTCGTCAACCAGGTCGCTCAAACGCGCGATCTCCTTGCCCGATGTCGGACTGCCTTCGGGTGTGTAGAACAGGCCATAGCCTTTGCTGGGCGTAGGCGTACTCTCAACTTCGGGAGTTAGAGCACGACGGCTTAGATCGGTCAGGGTCATCTTGTTGCGGTTGGTAGGCGGGGTGGCGTAAGGCGTATCGGCAATGCTGCGGCGGAGATCCGTACCGCGTGACCGTCGGGGCGTACCAGCGTTGCGTGATGAAGATGAGGAAGGACGACTGGAGTCTGCGAGGCCGATCTTGCGCAATTGGGCCTCTAGGACGAGGATGTCGTTGTTCTTCTGCTCAGCAAGATTGGCCAACCTGAGGACTGTCTTCTTGACAGCCTCCATGGAAGGCACTGACTTTGTGCTGCCGTTCTGTGCGTTGTGGGACACCAGACGCGAGCGTAGGACTGCGACTGCATCTTCAGCCTTGCGCAGCGACGTTAAAAGCTGAGCATAGTCGTTGCGCAGAGCCTTCTGTCCATCGGCAAGCTCCTTTGGCAATGGTGCCTTTCGGAGAGCTTCTGCCTTTTCGGGATCCTTGCGATTGATGATTTGGCGGCGTATGTCATTAAGACGAGTCATGAGCTTGGCCTTGTCGTGAAGAAGACGAGCGAGCTGTGTGAGCTTGAGTAGCACATCCTGTACCCGCCCTGCATCCAGCTCTTGTTCAAGCTGATCTTCAAGAGATCGCAAGGCTTGAATCTCGCACAAAGTGAAGTTCTCGAACCATGAGCCGTGAGGTCCCTGGTCTTGGACATCATCCAGCATACGTCGATCGATTTGGTGACCAGCCTGGGGCTGTAGGTGGTATTGTGTAAACGACTTGATAGATCGAGCGTTCCAGCCAAGTGCATCCACCATACCGTTGATGTCTTTGTAAATCAACTCGATCTGAGCGGCGTGACCTGTCTTGCTAGGTGATTTACCACCAGTGTAGTTCTGGTATGCGACAAACTCCTCCAGGTTCCGGCTCGGCTCGATCGGCTGCGCAAGCTGTGCTCGTATCCGCTCGTCCTCTTCATCTTCAAGATCAGAGACTTGTGGCTGTGGCGTGGGCGGCTTAGACCCCTGCATGGATGAGCTCAATGAAGCACCCGGTGCGACTAAAGGTTCTCGTCGGAGACGAGAAGCTGAGCTCGAACGAGCTGGGCTAGGCGAGCGAAGGTCTTGGGCGCGGTTCGTCGGAGGCGGGAAGTTCGGTTTCGCAGACATCGATGACTGATCGGGTTTACCAGAGAAGGGGCCTTTGTTCGGTTGCTGTCCGAACAGCGATGAGCCCGAGAACGATGGCTGGTTCGCGGCAGGTTTCGAGGCCTGAGCGAACAAAGAAGGCTGGGCTGGTGAAGCGCTGCTTCCAGACTGTGATGTGGCGCCGGACTTCATTGTGGGAGGAGTCGGTGCAGGGGGGAAGAACTGCCGTGACTGGTTCACACTGTCCTGGAAGCTCCAGGTACCCGCCTTCGCAGCTTGCGGCTTTGACGTCTTGTTTGGCGGATATGTGTCGTCGACTTCTTCAACCTCCTCATCGTCCTCCTCATCGGAGAAACCTTCCTCGTCATCATCCTCTTCGCTCTCGTCGTCATGGTCGTGATCATGTTCTTCCTCGTCTTCGTTGTCAATGGGAGACACATCTCCAGCCGAACTAGGTGCTTCCACCTCAACGCCAGGACTACCAGCGAGCGGAGGCAAATCGTCGCTAGTCGAATTCGGCAACTTTGTGTTGGTGAAGTCTGGTGGCAAAGGTGCGTCGTCCACCGGAGTAGCGGGCTCTTGCACAGGTGGTGCAGCCTTGGGGGTTGCGCTCTCCTTTGCAGGAGTATCACTGGGGAATAACGACTTCTGCTTTGGCGGGGATGCTGGTGTCGTGGAGACCCAATTCGGGGGGTTTTCGCTCGCTGGGGTTGCGGGCGGCTTCATCCCTGTCTTTCCTAGCATGTTGGAGAAGTCACTGCCGAAGAAGGAACCGTTGGCAGGAGCCGCAGGCTTCGCTGGATCGTCCTTAGCTGTACCGTCACTTGCAAAAGTAGTGCCGAGCTTGAAGCCACCTGCAAGGCCGAACAAGCCTTGGGACGGCTGAGCTTGTGGTGTAGGTGTAGCTTCGTCCCTCTTTCGGTCGTTTGCCTCGCTCGCATCGGAGTCCTTCGACTCGAACGAGGCCGTGTTGAACGATGACTTGTCTGGCTGTCCAAAGATCGAGCTGCTTTGCTGAGCGGGCGTGCTCGCCCAGGAGGGTAGCGAAGATCCAGTCCCAGAGCCAACGGTGACAGTAGAACCAAAGCTTGGCTCTGTCTTCAGACCTCCAAAGCCAGATTTCTGTTGCCCTTGCCCGAGTGCTCCGAACCCGGAGCCAGCTTGTGCAGAGTTGTTGCTTCCAAAGCTCGAAAAGGAGTTTGACCCTCCAGCAGTTTTGAATTGGGCGAAGCCCGACGAACCACCAGCGGCGGCCGAGAATGGGTTGGATTTTGACTCTGAAGTTTGAGATGTCGCTCCCCATGGCGATGCTTTGCCGCCCATTCCACCTACTGCGCCGAATCCGGAGCCGACACCTACTGCAGAAGGAGCGCCAAAGGCAGGTTTGGCGGGAGTGCCGATTGCAGAGGGAGCACCAAAAGCTGGCTGAGGAGGCTTACCGATTGAAGATGGAGCACCAAATGAAGGCTGTGCAGGTTTACCGAATGTTGGAGCAGGCAAATTGGTAGCAGCAGTACCGAATCCGGGCGTTCCAAAGCCGGGCGGTTGAGGCTTCATGAGAGCGGGAGTTGGTGTACCGAATCCGTTTCCAGCGTTGCCAAAGTGGGGGATGCCAGCTGTTCCTGGGGTGCCGGGTGTTCCCATGGACTTGCTGAAAGGGGTAGATGTAGCAACAGGAAGTTTGGATGCAGGCGTAGATGCCCTCGGTGTAGAAGACGGCGCATGCTGTGTGGCTTCGCTCTTGAAGATGAGACCGGGGTAGCGTTCTCCAGCCTCGATAGACTTGTTCCACATCACCCACCAGGCCGCAAGAAGACCTTCGTGGGTTAGAGCCATGTATGCAGGAAGCGGCCACGGCGCCTCACTGATCTCTTCCAGAGCAGGAATGGGGCGCAGTATCTTCTCCTTGCTCGAAAGATCAAGCGCCTCACCAATGAAGACACTATCCATTTCCTCGTCTCCGTAAGCGGTTCGCGGCACCTGAGCCTTCTTCGTGTCGTCCACGTTGACCATCATGAGCTCGTTACAGGTTTCTTGATCCGGGGAGATCTTGTTGCTTGTGGAGGCAAGTATCGCGATGGAGTCTGCGTGGGAGGAAGTGATAATAAGCATGTCGTCGAGATCGGGCTTCCAGTTTTGTAGGCGTGTGGACGAGATCCGTGCAGGTAGTTGGCGGCGTGGAGCTTCGAATGCCTCGGGAAGAGGATCCCAGACAAAGGAATGGTACGTGAAGGATCCCCAGCCCTTGGCTGATTTGATGACGCTGTACTTCTTTGGCTCCGGGTTATCCTGGTCTTGGTCCTTCAGAGAGTAGACAGCAAGGAACTCTTCAGTTTTCAGCCATGACACGCCGGTCACCTCGTAGTTTTCATCGACGTCCGGGGGTCGTGGAACGATACCTCTTAGGTCTCCAGCGGTCATGTGTATAGCGCAGGTGCCATCAATAGAGCCAGAGACTACAGCCTTTCCGCGCGCACTCCAAGCGGCGCAGTTGACGTGTGCCTCTCGAATCGTCTTCTTGACGCCCTTTTCCACATCGCATATCTCCAGCTTGCCGTTATCGAGGACTATGGCGAAGTATTGTTCGAATTCGGGGGAGGGGTTCGGGAGGAGAGCGCGAACGGGTGCGTCGGTCGCCAGTTTGGTGTCCGCGTCTTTCTTGCCTTGGCTGACGACACTCGCAACATTATACGTAGTGACGCCGCCGTCGGCCTCATCAGATGTAACCAAGAAATCTCCATCGGCGGAGAAAGCGACATGGCGGAGATTGGGAGTGGAGATGGTGATATCGGGCGTGAAGTCTGCTACGACGTCAATGTCGCGCTCTTCCAGACGCGGGTCATCGGCGTTTGCGATGTCATCGGCTATGGTCTTGTTCTGGAAGGCGCTGCGCACGGAGTCTGTGGACGCGATGACGAGGATGTTGGGGCCGGCAGCAGCGAGAAGGGCGGGTTTGGAGGCGATGGAGAGGAGGTTTGCGCACGCAGGCGGCAGGTTATCGGCAGACCATGGCCGGGGCAGGATCTTGACCTTCTTGGGGCCCTGTTTGCCCTGGTTGAGGACCTTGAAGCCGAGATGCTGTGTATTCGTTAGTACCGTCGCATGGCGGTCTGGTGCGAGCTGTAGCTACCTCAGTCTCAACTTCGGGCACCTCAGGCCCAGCCTCGACAGCCGGCGCGGGAATCTTAGACATTCTGCAGGACTTGCAGGCCGAACAGGTTCTGGCGCGTAGGAGGCTCGGCTTGGTGTCGCGCGTCGGAGTTCTCAGCTTATTCATATATGCATCGGAGGACGAGCGCGGGAGCGCGTGCTAGCCTTGGTGTGTTTTGGGAAAGAGCAAATAGGCCGTTCTAGGCTAGGCGGGAGCAGGTGAAGGTGATTGAAACGGCGGAGATGCAAGGAGATGGTGCCTGGCGCTCTGGATAGTCGAGCGACAAGCATGCGACCATTAGCTCGACGCTCTGAAGCGACGCGCTTTGTTGTTCTGAGAAAGTTCCCGAGCTAGTGGAGCTCATCGCTGCGCCAAGGCTCCATCCAAGCTCCAGGCACGACAGCTACGCAACTCACCCTCGCCGCCGACCGCCTAGACAACCCGAGTAGACGCGCGACATCACCACCTTTACCACTATACACGCCGTCTCCGCAGCAAACACCCCACGCCTCCACCGACACCTCACACCAACACCATGGGCGGCTTCGACTTCTCCAACCACAACCGCAATGCGGCTCTCCACGCCCAGGGCATCCCGCTGCCCAAGGCGACCAGCACAGGAACGACCATTGTGGGCTGTCTCTTCAACGGCGGCGTAGTCATCGCAGCAGACACACGAGCTACCAGCGGTCCCATTGTAGCAGACAAGGTAGGCTCGTCCCCGCCATAGACGTTGTGACAACCACCACCATGGACACTGGTCTGACATGCACCGCAGAACTGCGAGAAACTCCACTACATATCCCCTCACATCTGGTGCGCGGGTGCCGGTACCGCCGCCGACACCGAGTTCACCACCGCCATCATCTCCTCGAACCTCGAACTGCACGCCCTCTCCACCGGCCGCAAGCCCCGCGTCGTTACCTGCATGACCATGTTGAAGCAGCACCTGTTCCGCCACCAGGGTCACATTGGCGCCTACCTCGTCATTGCGGGTGTTGACCCCACCGGTGCGCATCTCTTCACCGTCCACGCCCACGGTTCCACCGACAAGCTGCCGTACGTCACCATGGGCTCAGGTTCATTGGCCGCCATGTCCGTCTTCGAGACACAGTGGAAGTCCGATCTATCGCGGGAGGATGCCGTCACACTATGCGCAAACGCCATCGAGGCGGGTATCTGGAACGATCTGGGTTCCGGTAGCAACGTGGACGTAGCGGTCATCACAGAGGACAAGACCACTTTGATGAGGAACTACAAGACACCAAACACCAGGCAGCCCAAGCAGAGGAACTACAGGTTCCAACGGGGAACTACTGCAGTGCTGAACGAGAAGATCATCACCAAGGAGGAGATCAGCAAGTACGTGACCGTACACGAGCTCAAGGATGGTGATGTGGCCGGCACAGCAGAGACGATGGATATAGACTCATAGGTTTTGCTCTAGCTCCGGGGCGATGCAAGATGGCGTTACGAACATGAACGTGTATTATACACCGAAACGGGGTTCCAGACGAACCACAGCCGAATAGCTACAAGGCAATATGATGACGATCAATGAACCACCTCACCAGACATTCAAATCAAGCATTCGATGTGAACGGCATTTAGTCATGGAATATTTTGTGCATTACACTACCTAACAGAACAATAGAAGTCTAGTGACCCTCAGTAAAACATGGACTCCGCATCGCATCCATCACGCCGTGCCTAACGACATCTCTTCTCGACGATACCAGCACCATGCTCCTCGTACTCCTTCCTCGAGATCCACAGCTGGTGGAAACTGCCCAAACTAGCTAGTATACTGCCGCCAATCCAGGCTGCGTATTTCCTCTCCACCACGCTACCGGGTGCGATGAGCTTGTTCCTAGTGCTGGGGTAGATGGCGTTGATTTCGTAGTTGAGGCGCTCGTTGAACTTGTAGAGCAGCGTCGAGCCACCTGTTACGACAATGTTGGAGAGGAGGAGAGGACGTTGGTCGGCGTCAACTTGTTGGACTGCTGCTTGTACGAGTCGGGGGATTGTCTGTTCAGGCTTCGGCGCGGGCATGGTTTCGCTGGCGAGCGCGGCGTTGTGGTCGAAGAGGCCCTCTGCGGCGCGGAACCTCTCGATGCCGAAGACTTGGTTCCAGCCGTCGGGCATTTCGAACGGTCGGCCTGGCATGCTCTTTGCCAGCTCTTCGTTGGTGCTGAAGCGGCCGGGGCCGGGCCAAACTTCTACGACGGATTCCTTGAAGGACGTGAGAATGCGCTCCTCTTCGTTTAGACGGAAAGAGTCGGTCGGTGGTGTCTCGAATGTCTTGTAGGTTGCTTGGGCGGGTGCGCCAGCGTCGACTGGTGTCTTGCTCTTGACCATGTAGTGCGGTGTCAATGGTACTTCAGGCTGGGCTTGCTTGAATGACGTCCGTATCTGGTCGGAGACAAAGTTACCTGCTAGAGGCGATTTCTGGACGCCCTTTCGCAGCACCATGCCGTCGAGCACAGGCGTGACAGATGTATGCGACGCGCCGACGTCAATGATGATGCCTGACGCCTTTCCTGATGCAAAGGCAGCCAATACACCAGTCTTTTGCAAGAAGAAAGCTGGCGTGCCCCAGTCCTCCATGGCGATCTCAATGTACTTTTCCCGCGCCTTTGCGCTGTTCCAGCCTGGTTCCGTGATCAACAGCGGGCTGTCTTCCAGCGGCTTCTCGTTGTTTTCTAACGCGTCCATATCCACGTCCATGGCCTCCCCATTCTCGTTCTCGCCATTGCCATCGTTCAGCCCGTTCTTGGTAGGGTCGGTTGGTTTTGCGCCGGTGAGTCGGCTCGTGATCGCATACTCCCACAGCTTGGTCGCGGTATCCCAGTCCTCTACAATGCCGTCTGAGCCCCAATAGTTCTTAATATCGAGACCGCCGACCGGCGCATGTATCGCATTTTCGCCAAAGAGGTGTTCGCCTGAGGATGTTTGGCCGTAAAAGGAAGGGCAGACGGACTTGGGCACGTCCTCGCCAGCGAATCCAGCGCGAACGGTCGAGTAGCCGGGGTCGAGGACGATCGCAGAGACCTCATCTATGGTTCTCAATTAGCATGCGCTGTGTGTAGAGCTCCGTCGAGCGTCGCGTACCTCCGGCGTACTCTCCCGCAGCTGGTGCGGTCGATGCGTTGGGAATGTTCATCGCGCGCGACTATCGCAATGCGCAAAGCTTGATAAAGATTCGCTTGTATACGTGAGGCCTGATTGACGCGTGATAATGGGTATTCGAGGTGCTTTGGGCGCTGTCCTTGCAGGATGGGCGTTGGTGTTGGAGCGAAGCTGTTGCCAGACGCGAACTCCAAAAGTTGAGGTTGCGGACCTGGCCTCCATCACCGCACTTGTCCCCCGCGCCTCCACTCCGCATACTCCAGAGACATATACACAGGGTTCTTTGGAGACCAGAAGATGAGGAGATAGTCTAGGCAATACAATGGCGCTCAAATTCATTCGCCAGCTCTACTCGCTGGATACCCTCGATACACGCTTCGTTGTACCGGCCACCGCACCCCCGAAAGAGGCGCTCGAAGAGGCCAAACTTGATCCCGCTGGACCAGTGCCAGTCAAAGATGGACGAAATGGAGACAAGAGTCTAGAAAATAGAAGTCACGCGCCACTATGGTCAACGCCGGAGTTCTACTTCTACTACGTGTCCATTGCAGCCAGCGTGTTCTTTATGTTCAAGTTGGTACTAGATGTTTCTCAAGGTTCGTCCGAATAAGCCCGCAGAGGGTGAGGAGAGCTAATCGTTAAGCAGAATCCCATCCAAACTATCCGGAGTTTGAACATCTTCTCTCGGATGGCTGGATACCTGGTCGCAAAGTAGTACGTTGCAACATCGACTGTCACATGCCATCGTCTAACTCCTCAGGACAATACCGATGCTCAATACAGCGGGTTCCGCCAGAACATTCCCTATCTCTTCATCGTAGTTCTACTTCATCCTATTCTGCGTAAGGCCTATGATTCGTTCTGGAGGGCGGGAACGTATACTCAAGTTCGGCCCTCTGCCGGCAATGGCCTTACTATGGGCTTAACCCCAGGTGCTGCAGCGGATGCCCGTATGAACCAGCGCATCTCATTCGACCTTTTATTTGCCGCTATATTCCTTGCCGCCCTTCATGGCTTCTCAGCATTCAAGATCGTCGCCATTCTTTATGCCAACTACTGCATCGGCACGAAGCTCCCTCGCCAATATGTACCGGCTGCTACATGGATCTTCAACGTCGGGACTCTATTTGCAAATGAGTTCTCAGACGGCTACTCGTATGCCAACATACTTGGCACTTTCCTTCCATCCACATTGTCGGAGAAAGGTCAACCAGCACCCAACTTCGGTCACACTCTAGACAGCTATGGTGGTCTGATACCTCGGTGGGAGGTTCTTTTCAACTTCACCATACTCCGGTTGATCAGCTTCAATCTCGATCACTATTGGAGCCTCAACTCTCGGACGGGTAGTTCCATTGAAGTACTTTACCCACCCACCCTTAGTTCGATATAGCTAATAACATCAAGAAGAAACAACTCGACGCCTCCAACCTCTCAGAGCGGGACCGCGTCACGATACCTGCCAAGCCTACTGACTATACTTTCCGCAATTACTTCGCCTATGCCATGTACTCGCCCCTCTACCTCGCTGGGCCCATCATCACGTTCAACGATTACATCGCTCAATGCCGGTATCGACCCCACAGCATCACGACCAAGCGAACAACAATGTACCTCGTCCGCTTCATTGTCGTCTTGTTGACGATGGAAATCATGATCCACTACATGTACATGGTCGCCATCTTCCATGAGAGGCCCGACTGGTCGCAGTACACGCCAGCCCAGCTCAGTATGCTAGGTTTCTTCAACCTAAAGCACATCTGGCTAAAGCTGCTCATCCCATGGCGTTTCTTCCGTCTCTGGTCGCTCTTGGACGGTATTGATCCTCCCGAGAACATGGTCAGATGCATGTCAGACAACTACTCCGTCATGCACTTCTGGCGCGGTTGGCATCGTAGCTTCAACAAGTGGAGTTTGAGATACCTCTACATTCCGCTGGGTGGCAATAGAGGAGATGGTCTCTGGGGCAAGGCAAGATCGGTTGGAAACTACCTCGCCGTGTTTACCTTTATCGCGATCTGGCATGATATCCAGCTTCGGTTGCTGATGTGGGGTTGGCTGGTCACTCTCTTCGTTCTCCCCGAGATTGTTGCTTCGTACATATTCCCGGCAAGGAAGTGGAAGGATAGTCCGGATGCGTATCGTTGGTTATGCGGAGTCGGCGCCGTTTTCGAAATCCTCATGCTTATGACAGCTAATCTCGTTGGTTTCGCCCTGGGAGTCGATGGTCTTAAGGACTTGGTGCGTGGTATTGTAGGAACATGGTCGGGCTGGATGTTCCTTGCTACGGCTTGTGGCGCGCTGTTCACCGGTGTACAGTTCATGTTTGAATGGAGAGAGAATGAGAAGAGGAGGGGAATCAAGATGAAGTGTTAGACTTGGAGAGTCAACACAATTGGCCGTCCAGTTGGATGCTATCAGCACCACCTTTGTATTACTACTCTTAGTCTGCGACTATCGCCGAGCAAATATCACTTCAGAGTGACCTTGGAGATAGGTATTATGACCGTCCTCCTCCATCGACTCCTCCTGCTTACATGACGACACAACACCTTCTCTTATCTTCATCTCCGAACTTCTTCGCATCATTCCACTCCTTCTCGGAAGCATCCCACTCCTTCTCAGGAGCATTCAACTGCTTTGCAGCATCTTCCAATTGCTTATCGATCTTTTTGTTATGTCTTTCGACCTCCCTTTTCTGGCTCTCGTACTCTAGCCTCTCACGCTCTTTCTCACAGCACGTAGCATCGCTTCCGTTCGAAGGAGTCGCACCACAGGCCGGAACTGTTCTCTTGATATCCCCAGTCTTGATAGTCTTCTTCGACCTTGTTCCGTCGGGATGTTTGACACGAATGGTAGTGCGACCGTTCTTGTACTTGGTGACAAAGGTATCGCCGTCTTTGAGGCCAGCCGAATCTACATAATGTTAGCATTTGCAAGTTCGCTGCGCCATGACACGTATACCTGAAAGACTTACGGCTAAGATATCCAACGAGCGACATAAGTCGGTGGCTCAGTGCGTCTACCGCTGCTCGCTTACTTGCACGTCGCAAACCTCCAACGACGGTATCGCCGTGCAACACAGCGCCATCATTGACAGCAATCACTGCGTGACCAGCCTCACTGGACTTAGCGATGAGGAGAGCCCTAAATCCCTTTTCGCATGTGCATGTTGGAAGGATGATAACCTGGTACTGATGCTCATGGCCGTAGAGGAAAGAAGCGTTCTCTGTTGGTAGAGCTCTATTAGCTAACTGCACAGCGATGTGGGCATGAGTAACTTGCCGTTTACGCTCTGTGCTGCATCCATGACTGCGGTTGGTGAGGATGCGGATATGTGATTCACGCAAAATACGATGCGTGGTTTATTGTGCGACGTCCCGTTAAGCGTACCCAACTCAAACAAGTTCACGTGTCATGTAGGAGGGGTCATGATGTTGATATTATGTCTATAGAGACTGGGAGTACCAAATTTCTGGGTGGGTTCATGATACCTACATTTGATGTCTACAGCGAATTGCAAGACTGCTGCAGCATCCCGGCCAAATTGAGATGCTCGAGATGTGCAAAAAGATGAAGACAGGAAATAGGTGTCCACAAAATAGTTGTGACGTTGTCGGAGTAGAGTGAATGCTTGTATGGGTCGGGCAAAAAGGCAAAAAGTAAAGTGCAAAAACAGAGTTTCGAACCCACGAAGGGTGAGGGGTTTCCAAAGATTGAGTAAGTGCAGTGTTGTGCGGGACTCGCGGTCACTTCTGGTAAAAGGCAAGAAATGAGTTCGTACAAATCCTCGCACTGCACATTGATACTGCGTAAATATTAGTTATATATACTGAACAAGAGTTGCTGGTGATGCTGGTGGACCCAGCGCAGGTGCACCCAGCGCAGGTGCCAGATGAAGCGAGGGCCAGTGCGGGCGGCGAAACCCATGGTCGGCAACAGAGAGGGAAGCGCTGGCCGTGCGCTGTTGCCTGTGCGCCTTGTGCCCGACTCATGTTTTCTTTCGCGCTCTTGTCGCGATGCATCATCCGGGTTCTGTACGTCTCGCTTCTGTAGGAGGTCAACGCCAAAGGAGGTCAGAAGGTAAGAAGGCAAGTGCAGTAGGTGAGTGAGCGAGAGCCCCGCGCTTGAGGTCAAAGGGGTTCGCCAGGCTTGTGTCACACGTGCCCCGCATCAGAGCGACGGCCTGCAGGCTGCAGGCCTCCTTTTGTCTTCAGCCAACTTCATCTACAATACTATTACCTGTAAAGCCCTTCGACATTTGCGACGCTTCTTTGAAGCTGCATGCGTGGCTTGCTATGCGCGCATTTTGTAATTATCGCTCATTGCGTGAGAGATGTCGTCGAAGGCCGTCGTCTCCAGCTGGTTTCAAGTGAGTAGCATCCTCTAGGCTAAAGACCTGTTGACCCTTCGTTTCTTCTTGGAGTCGCATCTCTCTTTTGAAAGTCCCGGCATACTTAGCACGTCGGGCGCGCCTTGTGGACGCTTGATCTGAACTGCCATGCGTTCGTCTCACTCTGTGTTTCTACTCACACACGAACATTATGCGTACCCAGGTATGTTTCCGCTCTCAGTGTTATCGTTCGAGTCATCATGCATTTCGCCGTGTCCCTTTCTTTCGCTTCGGTTTCCTTTCTTCGCTTTCAAACTGCTATCATTCCAAATTTGCGGTCCTTGATCTTTCACAAGACGTTTGCAGCGCTGGGGCTGGTGTCGTCAACGTACTTGCCTCGCAAAGTATGGACAGCACTTGACACGCACTATATATCAACAGATGCAGCCTTCGATCAAACATATCGCACTCATTGCATCAAGATTAAAGCTATCGTAATTGTATCCGTATACCGGCCTGCAAACGATCGGCTAATGTGGTGACTTGAATCGACCCGTCTCTATCACCAAGCAGCGATGGGTATATGGCAACGGCTTTCCAATTCACTCATACAGTCATGATCTTATTCAAGTCTACCGATCATGTAGCTTCTCCGCGTTTAAAGTCTTCAGTCCTCTCGGTCTCGAGAAGCCATTTGCCTAGCCAACGAACTCCTAATTGTGGTGTCGCTCTCACCTATATTGTTTCCTTCTTCACTTCGTTCTAGTCGTCCAAATGTTTGTGGCCCAGCGCCTGGGGCAGGTTGAGGTTTCAGTTCGTGTTCCTTATCATAACCTGGGGTTGGCGTTTCATCCCTCATCGTATCTCTTAAGGCAGTCGCGACCACGATATCTGGACCCTGCAGGACGATCCATGAATACCTTCGCCGTTCGTCGCGACTGCCCAAACGGCGTCGCCTAAGGCCCAGAAGGCGCTAGCGCAGGTAAAGGTACCACAACAGCGCAACAATACCTAGTCGTCAACACCGACCGCGCTTCCTCTTCAACGCCGATTACAGTCCCTACAGTCTCTGTTGGTTCCCAGCTTCCCTAAATTGACCAGTCGGTCTTTCCTTCTTTTCAGCTGCAGGCAGTCATTCACTCATTTCTCGCACCTATACATCCGCTGCGCTGCACGGCTTCACCTAAACAACCCACAACATTCCCACACCCAGCACCTTTACGTTGTATACCCAGCTTAAACATCCCATAACACTCGCTTCATCATCACCATGAAGTCCATCGTTTTCGCGAGCGCTCTTGCCGCCGCCGGCCTTCTAGTAAGCTCTGCGAGCGGACGTCCACTCAGTGAGTTACCAGAATTCTCTCCACCTGCGGCATACTGTGACGATAGTCTCATCTGCTGGGCTGAGGTTACAGTCACATCGCTGCCTGTCTATGATATATCGTTCACTAATAAGGTACAGATCATAAGCGCAAGGTTGTCACCGAGGTAATCTACGTCACCGAAGTCATGGCTGAAGTTGCTGTCTTCGTCAACGACGCAGGCGCGCCCTATTCAACTGCGACTTCGACGATCCTCACTTCACCCGTCACTGTGCCCTCAATCACAGCCGAGACGACATCGTCAACTGTCGAGCCTCCGCAGACTTCATCAGCCGTGCCAGAGCCAGCTCCCTTACCAACGTCTTCCGCATCTGCTTCTCTGCTAGCAGAGCCTACTGCTGTCGACATTCAGGATGCGACCACGACACCCTCACCGTCACCCTCACCTGCGCCGCCAGCTCCTACTCAAGAGCCTGAGCCCCAGCAACCAGCGTCTCCACCCGAGGACGTCCCGGTCGAAAAGGCTGCCGCTGGAACTCTGCCTCTGGGTATAACTTGGGATGCTTACAGCGGCTCCGCCAACTGCAAGACCCCGGATGAAGTTGCTAGCGAATTCAGTAGCATGAAGGACTACAAAGTCATCCGCATCTATGGCATGGACTGCAATCAGATCCCACTTGCAATTCAGAACGCCCAGAAGAACGGCCAAAAGCTCATGGGTGGTGCGTATCTAGACCCCAGTGGCGGCGGCGAAGATCCCAGCCAGGTTATCAAAGCCTACAAGAGCGCCATTGATCAGTATGCCGGCGGCAATTGGGATGTTATCCAACTCTTCGCGGTCGAGAATGAGCGCGTCAACGAACGCAGAATGACATCTTCCCAAGTCGTCGACGCAATCGGTCAAGCTCGCACCCAACTACGAAGCCTCGGTTACAACGGACCTGTAGGCGCAGTCGAGACCGCTCCTGCTACGCTCGATAACCCTGCCATATGCGGCGCCTCAGACGTGGTCATGGTCAATATCCACGCCTTCTTCGACCGGAACACCCAAGCTCAGGATGCTGGTACATTTGTCAAGAGTCAAGTTGAGCGTGTAAAAGCCGCCTGCAGTAACAAGCGCCTCATCGTCACTGAGTCCGGCTGGCCTCGCCAGGGTAATGCGAATGGTGCAGCCGTCCCGTCGCCCGAGAACCAACGTATGGCCCTCGACTCCCTCCGCGCGAGTTTTAATGGCGATCTGTTCTTCTTCAGTGCCTACGACTCGGAGTGGAAAGCCGACTCTGCGTCAACCTTCAACGCTGAGCGTTACTGGGGTGTGCTCGACTAGCTATTCTGAAGGAAGCTACCACATCGTTGGAATGATATCGCAGACTGCGTCTTGCGACATGCATCTTTCTTATTGCATCTCTCAACAAGCAACTGCATACGCCCATCACTTCTGCCATTTTTCTTGCCGACGCACTCGCGGCCTAGTGCTGCGTAAGTGTGTGTGGAAGATCATTTCTGGTGTTTACATGCTACGGGTATGATTACGAGATACGAGCATCATGTAACATAGATATCCAGTTCTCAAATGAATGAATGCTTTTCAATATGATAATCTAGCAAGACTTGCTTTTGTGACCTTTACCAGTCCGTCCTCCTCGTCTGAACACGTTCAGTATCCCAAATCCGCAGCTGTCTCTTCCAACGCCTTAACAAGCCCATCCAACGTACCTTTGATCAATCCCCCGTTCACCACGACCCTGAAGAACTTGCCCTTCTCGCCCGGCGCAAAGTCAATCATGAAGCCCCTGCTAATAAGCCTATTAGCAATCTCTGTTGTCGCCTTACTATTCGCGTCCGCGTCCTCTTTCAACTGCCCTCCCTTTGCATAATAGAAGCACACCTGTAGACACGGCAACGGCTCCGGACTGATCGTCTTGAAATTGCCACTTTCTTTCAGCTTGCTCAAAAGGTACTCTCCGTTCTCGTATCCACGAGCGACCAAATCGCTAAAGTGCTGCGGGCCGTAGTATTGCAGCGCAAGGAACATCTTCAAGCTATCGGCGCGCCGACCACATTGGGGTGTCAGATCAGCGAGGTCGTAGATATCCGCTGCGTCGGTGCCGGGCGCGTTGTGGAAGAGGTAGCCCGCTGGCAGCGTGAGTGCACGGTAGAACGTGTTCATATCGCGAGCAAGGAGGAAGGAACATGTCATCGGTACGCCGAGCATCTTGTGCGGGTTGATAGCGATACTGTCCGCGAGTTCAGCGCCCTTGAGCCTCGTTTCCCGGTACTTCTCGTTGAAGACCACGCTGCCGCCCCATGATCCGTCGATGTGGAACCAGAGATTCTGTTCCTTGCATATCTTGCTGAGAGCAGGGAACGGGTCGAAAGAGCCCTGAACGGTTGTTCCGGCTGTTGCGTTGAGGAAAAAGGGTGTTTCGCCGCGGTCTTTGCTTTCTTTTACGCAGCGTTCGAATTCAGACGGGATCATGCAGCCGCGGTCGTCGACGGGGACGGCGATGACGTTTTTGGAGCCGAGGCCGAAGAGGTTGGCGGCTTTTTCGACAGAGTAGTGGCCGTGGGCTGAGGTGAAGATGGTGAATTTGTGGGATCCGTTGCCGTCGGTTTTGGTCTCGGGGTAGAGCGTGTTTCGCGCGATTACTA